TTTGAAACTAAGTCATTCCGCTCAATTCTGACTTTACCATCGTACTTCAACATGAAAATCTTCCTTTGTACTAATACCAAATAAACAAGGCAATATACTGATAAGTAGGTAACTTTATAGAATATTTTATTTTTATTTTTTAAATAATTACAAGTTTAAAGCTATTATTAAAATGTTAAATTTGTTTATGCTTAATATAATAAAAGTATTTCTAGAACTACAAAGTAAAGAAATTGAATACATAGGTAAAACTAATATTATTAAGTATATTCAATTTTTTTTATGTAGTCATACATATTGAAAACAATTTAGAATAATTGGTAAAAGTAATTTCAACTGAAATTAAAAATTCAGGTATTAATTATTAAATTAATTATTCACAAATTATTTATTTTTAAAGAAAACTATGAATATTTGAAAATTTGTATTTATAAAACGGATTCAAATGTTGAGATTGAAGTGGTTGGAGCAGATGCTGAACAACTAAATGTCATACAGTTGGAGGAACAAGCATTACCACAAATAACAAGTAACTCATATGTATATTCATTCCTAGTGAATGAACATTTTTACTTAATTATTAAAAATACTACAAATAAATCAAAAATACTTAAAAACCGTTTTTATAATTACTAACTAGATTAAAAATGAAACTCATTTCGCTTCTCATTATTTTATTGGAGCAATATTTCTGGTAGAAAACATCATTATGTGTAAAAATTGAAAATAATGAAATTGTGTCATAAATTAGATAAAATGACATTTCATAAAAGGTACTACACTTGATATATTGTAGTAAGATTTATGATAGAAAAGTTGTTCATAGTATAAAAAAAATAAATAAACATCATTCTAAAACCAATAGTTTCCTCACTATGTTCAGAATTTAAGAGTGAAAAAAACGAAATATTTAGTTTAAAATAGAGACTTTATATTTGTAGAGACAAATATTTTTAACAGAATTACAAAAAAAAAAAAAAAACGAAAGTAATAGAAAATAATAAAACTTCAATAGTTAAAACAGTTAAAACACTTAAAGCAAAAATAGTTTGCAAAAATTAAAAACAGTGCATGTCGTAAATATTTGTGGTTTTACCCATAATTTTTCCCAACTATTTTGAAAACTCTCGGGAAAATCAAAAAATGACTTCCAAAATGCAAAAACTAGAGTAAATTATCTTCCAGAAAATATTTCCAAGCAATATCTCATGTAGAATAATTGTTCACTGACAGAAAAAAAAACACCCTTGCTACACTCTGAATCTAACATGATTACGCAGGCCAATTGAAACCAGTTTGATTTTGATTTTAGAGTAAAAGTAATGAAATTTATAAAGAATAATATTTAGGAAGGAATTTTCCGGATATATTTTGAACTACTTAAAAATTTAGTTGTTTAAAAAAATAAATACATTTTTTGTGCTTTTATATTGAGCTATACATTTAAAATAATACAAAAAACCAATAAGGTTCTCATCAAAATATTCTTCTCTTTTACTGTAAAATCAAAATTAAGCTAGTTTTACTTAGTCTGCTTAAAAATTGTTTTTTGCATGTTGCTTGATAGATGGACTGAGACAGTAGATATGGTGGTCTCTTAAGACAAGACATTAAGATAAACATGAAGAAAAAAAAAGTTTTTCATCTCTCCTGAACATTTGTTACTTTGTTGTTAGAACTCTTACAACAATTTAGTCTAACATATGTAATAAAGGATGATAAAATCATAGTTTATTTAAAAAAAAAAAAGTTTAGGTTCAATCATGCACTGGGTCCATTTTTATTGGAGGTTGATTTTCTAATTTTTCAACTTTTATTTTAAATTGCTCTTATCTTCTATTTGATTACTATTTTGTACCATGATCTTCATTACTAGAAAAAAAATGAATTAATTTTAAAATTTTAAACCAATTACAATGAAAATAAAAATATAAAAATTACTTGAAAACCAATGGTGAGTGAACTTTTCCTCTTTTTTTTTTTCTAATTTGATTGATTCAATAATGTACCTAAATGATATACAACCATCAGTATCTCTTTGGTAATGTTGAATAAAAGTTTCAGAATAACCCTTACACACTTCAATATGCAATTGAGTGGTGTGTTTAAATGTCAAACACTTACAACAAAATTTGCAGCACCAAATTGTTTTTATATCAGATTCAGTAGCATTAGTCATATCTTTTCTCATCATAGACAGTGGACAAAATTGTTCATTCATTTACTATGTACCAGTATCACATAGAAATCTGCTTTTATCAAATAATGGTAGTTTTGCAATAGGTAACTAAACAAAAAATTTAAAATTATCAGTCAAACAACTATTACTTTTTCATCCACAGAAACATTATATTTTTGTAAAATAGTTAAACTAAAAAGTACCAAAATAAACATTCTCGTAAAACATATTACAAATAAACAAATAATGTATGGAAATAATGATATTAATTTCTGTTTAGATATTTTACCACCAATTTGAAAAAGTAATATACAAATTATCAAAAAGGTGTACATAAATTTCAATTTATGATAATTTATATAGTAATATATAAAGAAATTCTTTAATTTATGAAAAGTGATCCAATCAATAAAGCAGAAAACATTTTTTTCCAAAATATATTATATTATAATATAAATATTATTATTTTTTAATATTTGATTATCCACTTAGTAGAATAAAATGTAATATAGATAAATTCAATACATGCAATTCTACCATTGGTTTTAAAACATACAAGTTATATATATACCATATTACTACAATTATTTATTTCAGCAAAATTTGATATTAGATTTAATTAAAAACTTAAAAAAATATACTAATATATATCAAGTAAGTTCAACTTGTTTAATTTGTAGTGTTGGCCAATGATATTTTAATATTGATAAATATTATATAATATGAATACAATATAGTATTTATATATAGGATTTTCTCAAATTATATAAGATAGACATACAATAGATATTATGTTATTTAAATACCCATATCATATTAATATAGGATACATACTCATTGAAATATCTTCTGAGATAATAAAGATAATCAAATTCTGTTTTTTTAAATGTATATACTTGCTGGGATAAGGAATACAAATATTTATATTTGGATTAAATTTTTGTTTTGATAAAAAAGTTTAATTTGAACATAGTAATTTAATAAAGTTTTTTCTAAAAATTTTAATATATCAACTTTTTTATTTTCATTAAATTTGTGATTAAAAAAAATTACCAATAATTATGCAGCAGGCTATAATTTGCATTTGCTAATTGATTCACACTTTTCCTTAAAATTTAAAAAATTATTAAAAACCATCAATTTAATGAAAATAAAAAGATAAAATGTTAAAATGTTTAGAAGAATAAACTATAAAATTACTATCTTCAATTTTTTCAAAAATAACTGTGAGTAATATATAAAAAGAAAAGAAAACAGCATTTTTAAATTTTATTATCTCCAGAGATATTGCAAGAGTGGGACAATGTATAAAATACAAAATTATCAATATCAATTTGTATTTAAATACACAGCACGGTGGTATTTCAGGAATATTATTGTTTATAGTAGATGATTGTAAAAGAAAAAACTTCTTAAATAATAAATAAATATATAAATAAAATCAAATTACATGAGAAATAATAGCATGTATAGTGGATGGCAACATAATTATATGGATGGACATACAGTGGCAGAAGCAGTTTTGCAGTCATTATAAAATACGAATAGTTAATAACTAATAACTAATAGTTATTAAATTATTATGATTATTAATATCAAAAACATGAAAAATTAGACTAGGTATCGATTTTGTTGGCCAAAAATATTAATTTGTAGCAAAGAAATAGTTTTTAAAATTAATTATTTGTCATTTACAAGAAAGCTACAAATTAATAAAATAATTTCAAGAAGATTACAAAGAAAAAAAAAACATTCAACAAATTGTATAAACATTAAAAACCTGAAAATGTAATTAGTTTTATTGAAATAACATAGATCATAAAAAATAATATGAATCCTATAGAACTCAACATAAATTATAAAATCAGATTGTTTTGATCTAGAAATTGAACTGACCACATAAAATTGAATTACTGTTGATCAAGTAAAAAATATATAATGTTTTGGTTAAGGTATGGTTTCCAAGGCACGACTGGTCGCTGGTGACATAAACAAAAAACCATCAAATTCCGTATCTGTATTCAGTATCATTGTGGTTTTGTGCAGTGAGGGCTAGTGTTTTCAAGTTAAATTTTAAATTTTATATTTACTATGAGTATGAATACAATTATTAACAATAATAAAATAATGTTACTTCTTCTTGAGGAAGAGCAAGAGGATGATGATTTATAAATCACAACACAATCCGAACAGAGAGAAAAAATTGATGCACTTTTTCTTAATAGGAAAACTGAAGGATACTTTGAAATTTTAATAAGTAGACATTTAATATGAAATGAAACAAAATTTTGCGAGTTTTTACTTGTTAATAAAAACCAATTTGATTTCTTGTTGTCACTAGTCGAGGTACAATTAACAAAGTTGTCTAGCAACCCAGTGAAGAAACAAATAACAGCAGCAGAAAAATTGGCATTGACATTAAGGTATTATAGTTTTATTTGCATTTATCACATTTATTTTAACTACACTAAAAACTGGATGTATTACCATATTTTTATTTTTTATTTTTTAGGTACATGGCAACTGGGGAATCATTTCGATCTGCCCTTTGGTTTTCGAGTATGTCATAGCTAGATCAGTATAATAATAAAGCAGACCTTGTCAGTTTTAAAAGAAAACTTAGTTCCAATTTTCTTACCGAATTCATCTCAAAAATTGATTTAAAAAAAAAAAATGATGAATTTTTCTATAAGTGAAACTTTCCTAATTGTATACTTGCCATTGATGGTAAACACGTACAATATTCGAAGTTCACACAATTCTATACTCTATACTTTAATTAATCTTATTACTACATTGTATATTACATTATAGATAAACATTATATACCAGATTTCCCTATAGTGTTAGCAATATCCAACCAAATACTATCTTTATGTTCTGCATCTTTATATTTGTTGTGAGACAGATCAAACAACTCAACATTTTTTCGAACCATTTCGATCAGTTGCTTTTCTTCTTCTTCTCCCGAAAAATGCAATTTAGCCATATTGATGCACGGTACAGTCGAAATTCACTACCCAATGGTTGGTTTGTGATTGAAATAAAGCAACGGTGGCACGCGACAGTCACAATACATTGCTCTCGGATCGGTAGTGTCACCGGTCGCCGCAATAAAGTTCAGGTGCCAGGTGCGTGGAAACCACTCAATAGGAATTACATACTAACAGTCAGACGGAAACTGGTCGCGCCTTGTGAACCGTGCCTTTAATGGTTACTGCTTTATCTAAGAAACAAGAATATTTTATGATTTTTATAATCAAATAATAAAGTAAAAATAAAATTATTAAATGGTTAATACTAGTATTATAAAATGTGTATTGTACAATTGGTTTTTAATTAAAAACTCATCGTCAGGTAAAATCATTAAGTCAAAAAGTAAAATGCGACTAAATATGAAAAAATTAATTAATTAAATTTCTAAAATAACATTTACATTAATTCAGTTTTAAAAGAATGATGACATACGCAATGAAATAAAGAAAAATAATTGTAATAATATTTTTAATGTTCAAAGCCATTTAAAAAATAATATCTTATATCAATACATTTTAGATAATAAATAATAACCGAACAATTTATATTTCTTAACATATCTTTGTTTATCTAACATGTCAAATAATAACTCATTTTAAATAATTTCTCCTATTAAAATGAATTATTTTTATGTTTCTATGGACCAGTTTGTATAATTGTTTTGCTTTTATATTACTTCATTTATTTTTTCATTTGCAGTTGCGTTTTACTTTTTGACTTTGTGATTATACTTAATGTTGAATTTTTATATCGAAATTAGTCATACAATATACATTTCATAATACTTCAGGCGATGCATTTATTTACTTATTTATGTAAGAATATTTTAATTGTTTAGGTAAAAAAAAAATGTATTCAAACTACTATGCATTTTTTAAGCTAAATTGAAATGTAATAACTTTTGTCATATTTCAAATAATTGTTTGAATAAATAAATTGTTATTATTAAATTTAAAAAATAAAATAATAATCACACATTTTTTTAAAAATTGATGGCTAAATTATGAAAAAAATTGCATTATAACTATCAGTGTACATGTTTTGTTAAAAAATGTTTTGACTTCTTGACATATTTAAGTATTTCACTAGTTAAGTAGAAAAAATGATTTCCATTTCATGAATTAGATTCCTTTTTATAAAACGCAAAATTTTATCAAGTGAATGAGACACACATTATTATGTTTCATAAATTATACTAGTATCAACTTATGCGTATCGATGCATTAAAAAAAAAAATGTGAAACATGAATTTTAAAAATATATAGGTACTTAAAACTTAGTTTTAAAATATTTTTAAATTAAATTTATACATCAATATTAAATTATTTGAAGATTATAACTGTTATAAGATGCTATGCGTAAACTAAACATTGTACTACCATTAATTGTATTAACTATTAAGAACTAATAATAATAAATAGTGTCTAGGTAGTAAATAAGAAGTATGCTATGTTATATTGTTATAAAGGGAAAGAACTGAACAGTATAATAAGTGACGCTAGATACTGCGTATAAAATATAAATATGTCCTATTTTTGAGGTTTAAAATACAGTTTTATCTGTGTATTGAGTGTAGCATTTTTATGTTCAAACGATGTATAATTTTGTGAGAAGCGACGAACAAGACATAATTACTGGATGTATCCACGGAGTAAAATTATGTTCACATTCTTCGAATTAATGGAGAAAATTTAATTATTTTAATGTGTTTATTTTCGATTATTTGTTACAAATAATTTAATTGACTTACCTACAGATCATTGTTTAACAAAAAATGACTGAGTGAAATTCAAAAATCTTACAGGTACAATACTAATATCGTAATTAGTTATCCAACATACCGAGGTGATACAGATTCTTAGATGCTCCAATAAAATTAAATATTACGTGCTTAATACACGTCACTATACTGCATGTCAAATTCGTAATTAACATACAAATTTCGTTCAGCCAACGTACGTGTTCTCTCGTGAACAGCAGTAAAGGATACGAGTCAGGCCTTCGTAGTCACTATGTACACTAATAAAATAATAAATAATAATAATTATAATACCCAACTTGGGTGTTTACGGACCACAGTCATAAAAAACGTTTATTTCTAACTGACCCAAAGAAAAGGTGCACAGTGGCGTGGAGAAGGAGGTAATAGAGAAGCTGCCACCTCTGACGTTTTTAAGGGATCTACATATATTATGCTAAGTTATATGACAATTTTTAAAAAAGTGATACAAATGCAATGTTAAATATTCATAAGGAGTAAATGTATAGCAAATAGATGTCACGAGTTTGTCGGTAAGTAGAATAAAATTCTCGCCTCTAAATATTTGATTTCGCCACGCCACTGTCCGCTATCGATAAATACGTATGAAGCGTAAAAACTAAAAACAATAACAAACTGAAAAGCTTTATCACCAATTATGTGAACCGCTACATCGTATATTATCATTGACGGTTTGTCAAAAGATAACGTCCGACGTTCCACTTGCAAAGTTGACAAAAAAGTAAATAAAACAATCAAATACAACGGAAATATTCGCTCTCATGATGGTATTGCAGCCAAGGTAGTTGGTATTATAACATCTTTGGTCGGAGCGAATATTTCCGTTGTAATGGTTCGTTCCGACCAAAGATGTTATAATACCAACTACCTTGGCTGCAATACCATCATGAAACTGAGCGACGAGCATAAGGTGGGGTGCGAGGTTGATGAAACGAGAACTGAATGATCGGAAAGATGGTGGAAGCAAAGGTTTAAAGGTTATAAGGTATTCGCTACATATTTGTTTGTCGCCGAGGAACCAATCGGTAATCGGAACACGCGGGCGTTGAGTTCGGGTGCGTTTGGTTGCGCTCGGGTGCGTTTGGTTGCGCTCGGGTGCGCTAGGTTGCGTCCTACACAATAATATTTCAGGTTAACATAAAAATTACGAAATTAATATTGTATTAGGCGAAACAAATGTCATTTTAATAATTATTTTATTATTTAGTTTTTAAACACCCGAATAGTTTCTTACGTTTCACGTGCTTTAATTTAAATCGTAATAATTATTTGTCATTTTCATTTTAAATGTCGAATTTCGCGGTCAAATAGTAGGCGGTGTCCGACAATAACATTGTCAGCAGTTGTACCATTGCTTATTATTTGACTCTAGCGGGCTCGTCGTTTAGCGTGTGTTTACGGTAGCCATTTTTTTTGGTCTTGTTGTGTTGGATCCTTCTCCGTTTTCTTTTGTTTACTGTTTATGGTAGCCATTTTTTTGGTCGTGTCGTGTTCGAGCCTTCTCCGTTTTCTTTTTTGTACTGCGCATTACCTCGTTGTTGCGATTGGCAAACGGTTCAAAATGGAAGTCGATGAAACTCGTAATGACAATAAAAAATTCATGTTCAATGAAGGTAACTACTACTTGTTATTGTTATTAATGCATTTATTGTTATTACCTATCGTTGATCACTTGTGACTGGCTCCATGGGCCAGTTTTACCTTACCGGTATATTTTTTGTTCCTAATATTTAAACTTTTTAATATTGGGTACCTACATAATATATAATATGTTTAAACTGTTTCTTATGTCCTAGTTTTCACCGTTCTCAATCGTAAGTTTATTATAGTTTCATACCATTAATAGGTACATTTTCGTGTCTTTGTTGATAGTTCATTGCTACACCTAGGTTAGTACCTACTTTTCGAAATTTTGTTTGAATGGGTGTTTTTTTTGTCACATTGGTTAGCACCAAATAGATAAGGATTATAGATGGTCATTTGTATAGCAATAACAGTTTTTACTGCTATTAAAAAAGTAATGGTGAAAATAGCGGTAACTGTTACTTGGTATTATGACTAGTAGCAGTGATTGCTACTTTGAAATCGCCTGTAAAAAATCGATGATACTTTTGTTTATGACGTCACTGTAGTCTATAATAACAAAACAAAGGTTCCACATTTTACAAGTGTATAGATTTTAAAATTTGTTAATATATAATATTCATCTAGTGATAATTAGGTACCCGTAATATATTGTAAATGTCAAGTAGCTCTTGTATTGTTGCCCTTTGTTAGAGGTTGTGTTATAGTGATAATAATTTGATTACGAACACTGTATTCCAAACAAATCTTAAAATGACATGGAGTCTCTGTTACTGATTATTTATTGATTATTACTTTGGTTTAAATTAATATAGTATATAGGTATACTACAAAACTAAGCGTTTCATAATAGACAAAATTCCAAAAAAAAAAAATAAAATAATGTGTTACAATAATTAATAATACAAATTATTATCTACTTACCTACCTATCAATTTGTAAATTTTATTTTATTATTTATATTGATTAGGTACCATGATAGTTATGACAAATTTCCATTATTTTTTTCAAATTATATTTATTCTGTTATTTATTTAACTATAATAATGGGTGGCTGCTTTCTTCAAACTGAACATATTTACTATGTACTTGATTTTTTGTGTAGATACCTTATGTCCCAGTCATTCTGTGTATAATTTTCTCTAAAAATTATAATAACAATTTTATTCGTTCAATAACAATCAAAATGTAAAAAAAAAACAATACCTAATATTATTTATTTTATGTTTTAATTATTTATATTAGGTATAATGAGTGATGAGAAACTAAGCGCTGTTTATGTATAACCCATTTGGCTTGATTTAACTCTGAATTTAATTACCCTGTTTACAAATCTAAATGATTTTTTTTCATTGAAAATAATATTTTGTCTCAGCATTATTATTAACAAGTTAAATAATATTTTCATAAACACATTTACTTTATCTCTGATGAAATTTGTTATTGACATTCGACTAATTGAAGACTACCTAGCAAAACCTAGGCTTAAAACCGCTACCAAAGATATTGATAATGAAAAATTATTGAGAAGAATAATTTTGAATTGAATTATATTATACTTATCAATTTTATCATTTAATGAAGGGAAGAAAAAAACAATGTTTTTTTGAACTGAAAAAACAAATACAGTTTTTTTTTGTGTTAAATACTAGAGCTCTCTGCGTTATAATTTTTGTATTTTATATTATATTTTATTACTTCACAACTAAAAAAATAAATTAAGATTATTTTTTTTATTAAATTTTTTTAATAATTTAAGATAATTAACTTTAAAATTAATTTTTTTTTAGTTTCTTAAAAATTTAATTTGTTTATTGATGATTTGGAACAAAAACAGTTTAGCTACCAAGCAAATTTTTGAAATTTTTTTTCCTAAATGTGTATTTTTACATGCCTAATTTGATTGTACTTCCAAAAAAAGTCGCTCAAATTTCATTTTGAAGTTATGACCAAAAAACTTTAAAATGCTCAATTTTTATAAAAATTGTGTTTTGAGTTTAAAATACCAAAAATTTATATTTTTAGAATTTTTTTTTTTATATAAATAGTATTAATTTTATGTTTAACATTTTGGTGGAATCAGAATTCACCTATCATAATCACTTTTTATGTTATTATTAATAAACCACGTAAAAGCTAATTATAATGTTATTTCAATCATTTGCATATTAAAGTTATTTTATTATACAATTGATTAAAATAACATTATAATTAGGCTATACATGGTTTATTTACAATAAAAAAAAAATTAATGATGATAGATGAATTTTAATTATTACCATTTCTAAAAAAAAATCCTGAAATGTATATTTATGTTATTTTAAATTTAAAAAAGCGATTTTTAGAAAAATTGAACATTTTGAAGTATTTTGAAATTAACTTCCAAATAAAGTTTGGGTGATTTTTTTGAAAGTACCATCAAATTATGTATGCAAAAACATACATTTTGAGGGAAAAAATTCAAAAAATTGTTTGGAAGCTAAATTGCATTTATGCCATTAATAAATCAATATTGTATTATAATATTTTACAAAGTTTAAAAATTGTCTAAGGTATAAGGTTTACAAAATGGCTACTTAGATTTTTTTTTAAAATTTAAAATTTTTATTTCGAATTCCTCAACATCAAATTTAACTAAAATATATTTAATTTTAACAACAATATTTAAAAATAATTTTTTTAAAAAAAATACCTTATTATATTTTTAAATATTCCTTGTCTCTGTATCTTAAACTGTCCACGTTCTAGACTCTTTTAAGATTGGTGAGAATTAATGAGAATAATCCGGGGTTGGTAATATTCGCGTATAAAACTACTAATAAACTTTAAAATGACTATGAAATCATTTTTTTTATTTTTTTTTGAAGTTTATTATAATTCATAATAGTAATACTGTATATTTTAAATTTGTTAAGGTAGTTAAATTTATAAATTAATATAGCGAATCACATCAATTTAGTAAATTTTTTTAAATTTAGAATGAAATATAAAACAAATAAATTTTTGGTATTATAAATATTAATGTAGTTATTAATAAAGAATAAAGATGAACCTAGTAATTAATAGAAAAATAATCACATATATCTTAAATAATGAATGAAAAATATTTTATAAAGTGATAATTGAATTCAATTGACAATTATCTTACCTGATCATTTTTATTCAATTGTAGTGAAAAAAAAAAATTGTATACAATATAATACTTGTTTTATACTAGTACATAACTGTATTGTATGTTCCAACTCCGGGATAATCTACTATGTTATTCTAATTTGTAATTGTTCTGAAGGTGTACCTATAGTTTTTGAATATTCATTTAGATAAAAGCATCTTTTTAATCTAGGCTTACATAGATTTTTTAACTATTTTTAACTAAATGGTTCTAACTGACAGTATGAATTGTTTAATGCAAGAAGAGGCTGTATTTTGTTTATTTAGTTATGTAACCAAATTGTTAATAATGTTTATTCATTATCAGGAAATATTCATATTTCATATTTATCTAGTGCAAGAATGTCACATTTTTATTTTTAGGCTTTATTGTTCTCAACTACCTAATTCACTATTTCAGTTCATTGATAATTTAATAATATTATTATTTAGATACCGCTGCCTACTGTTTTATGAATTCAGAGACACCAAAGTCCTAAATTTGAACATTTTTGACATATGGCCTTCTTGCATTGATGTTTTGTGAATAAAGAATGAACAATTAAATGGTTAAACTTGATAAACCACATAGACACGTTTCCGGGTGTGTATTTATCCTCTTAAATATATAATATAACATTAAATTAAAAAAATTCCTTATAAAGGTATAATATTACTGTTTGAATTATAGTTTTTATTTAAATTGTATAAATAATTAGTTAATTACTTTGCCATTTTGTTGTTTGTTTTAGGTGAGCGGCTTTTCGTCTATTATAAAAAAGAAATCTATGAGGGAATGTGTAAAGAAACACGTTGGTCTATTGATAATAGCCAACCCGAGTTTCTAATCCACTACATCGGTTGGAAAAATAAATGGGATGAGTGGATGGATGAAGATCAACTATTAAAGTGGACCGATGTGAATTATATTTACTATCGGCGTGCAAAAGCAGCGAGGATGAAGTAACTATTGAATTTATGTATAAAATAATTAACCGCAATAATCCTTCTATATTAAGGAAAAGATGTCCGTAGTGAAATGTCTTAGCTCTTGTGATATATGTTCGACTGGATAAAAAAGGTTTCCTCAAATTTTGATATTTTAAAAATTATTTCTAAGTATTATATTTATCAAACAAATATCTGTTTTTATTCTTTTACAGTCTAAATATTAATTTCTCAAAAATAAATATATAATATTACAATAATAAACACAAAGAAAGAAACTACATGATATCTCTTTTTTTTAAAAAAAAAAAAAAAAAAAGGACATACATTGCATGATGAAAATAGAGTAATGTGGTAGGTGAGACATTGAAAAGCTGAGATGCATGAAGTTATTTAATTTATATCTGAAACCAACGATAAACCATTGTTAAGGATAAATTATTCGGAGTGAAGTTCTTGTTATACATGTTTTGAAAGGCCTTAAATTTACGTATTAAAATTCTTATTAAAAAATTAATACATTTAACTCTACTTTTTCATGTCAACCACTAAGTATACTTAGTGGTTGACATGATGTTATAGATGTATATTATAGGTTATAACCTATAGTATACATCTTGTTAAATTTTCAAACATTTCTGTTGGGTTTAACAATTTTATCCTACCAAATAAAAATTTCTTAAAAACTCAAAAACGCAAAATCAAAATGTCTATAAATAAGTTTTCCAATAGAAATTTTGTACACAATTTAAAAAAATAATAAAAATAAACATCATTGTAAAACCAATATATTCTTTGCTGCATTCTAAATCTGAAATTAATGCTTATTTTAGACCATAGATTGATTAAAATTTTAAAATTTAATAATCGTTAAAAACTTCACATGGAATTTCCAATGTCTAAAAATGCCTATGATGAAAAATATAATTTCAATGAATCCAAAAAAAAAAATTTAAAAATTGCGATTTTTATAATTAATTATTGAATATTAAGTCATTTTTGTTCAATTAAGAATTATAATTACTCCCCAATAATTTTTGATGGAATATTTTTCCTTTTATTTTTTAATCGTTAATTTTTTTACACTTGGTATTTGTTTTCTTTGCGTCTCTACAACTTGAGGCATAAATTGTTTATATTCCTTGTTTTTTGTTAGCTGTAAATTGCACTTTAGTGCAACACCCCATTTTGCAAATTCATTAACAACCAATTTTTTTTTTTCAATTATCTTCTGATCATTGATGAACAGTGATCTTGGGATCCTCTTCTCACATATTATAAGGTTCGTTTTTTTTATGAATTCCTAATAAATATTTTTTGATGAGAAAAGTATCTTGTTATATCCTTCTGAAATACTTTTGATACTTAAATATGGTGAGAATTATTTGTACCATCTTCACCCAGACCGATAATAATTTTTCTTATTTCTTTAAGTAACAAATTGAATTAACATTTTTTTAAGAATTTTTTCAGGTTAATTTAATTTATAGTTTTCATCAAGTGGTTTGGATTTTATTCCTCTTTTATGATGTAGGAATAATACAAGCACTTTTTCAAACCTTGGAATAAATTTCCGAAGGTAGTTTTGAATGGTTGTTCATAAAAAATGCATACATTTTATTTTTATGAGCTTATAAGCTTAAATTTTTTTTTCAGAAAAGTATAGTATCTTTTTTTTAGTTTTTAATACATCTGTTATTTTTTCTTGAGAAATAAATATTAGGACAAAAAATTAAAACAACTAATAAAATAGTTATTTTTTGATAAATTGGATACTCACTCATGAATTTGAGACCTTTAGAAATAATTTTAAAAATCTGAAACTTTGAGGAAAACCTTTTTTTATTAAGCTGAATATCAACTTTGTTAACAACTTAATATCACAAGAATAGTAGTAAAAGATGAAAAAAAAAAAGATTCCTGGTCCACTTTAGTTATAATAATAATAAAATATATATTTATATATAATTCATTTAATAGATATTCCAAAGAATCTAAAAACTTCAATTATTTAATTTCCAAGAAGAGGAAACAAGTGGAGAGGAAAAAAGGGAAGGTGGACATGAACCAAAAGAAGCCAGGGAAGATTCCAGTCAAAATACAAATGAAGAAACCAAAGAAAAATGAACAGGAGAAAACACTGGAGGAAAACAAGAAAAATCAGAACAATATTGAAAAAAAGATGATACTGAAGAAGAAAGAGGAAAAGAAAGAAAAAAATAAGACACTAGAAAAGGAGCCAAAGAATGAAATGCATTCTCAGCATGAAATGGAAGATGACAAACAAGAAACACTTGAGAAGCAGCCAGAGAAGAAAATATCTCTACTTTTTTCTTCACTTGCATCTCAGCAGGAAAAGGAGGGTAAAAAACAAGACTTATCTAAGATAAATTTTCATAATGATTCAAAAATTCTGAATGTGCCTCGCTCTATTTTGAATTTAGACCAAGGTAAAAGTAATATTTCAATTAAACTATTATTTTAGTAAAATAAAAATATTCTGATTTGAGTATTATTTGATTTTATTAAATGTCCATATTTGTATTAAAAGTCATCGAGGTTCTGTCTCAAAATTAAACATTGTAGTCCAATCAAAATAAAAAAAAGTTATGAATTAATTCCTAGAAAACTGAATTTCAGTACACAATTAGTCTTACTAATGAACATACTAAAAGTCTCTAGGTACATCACATAGATTAATAATATTGTGTAACTATGTTACTATTTGATAAAACCACCTATAACAATAAAATTCAAACCAATGGGCTTGCTGCTACACAAATGTTGTATGGTTTTTTTGTGCTTTAATTTTATTAATTTCTATACTCTATGCATTATTATAAGTCAACCAAATCATTTAAATAATCAAGATTTTGGTTCTTTATTACTTCCAAATTGAAAAAAAGATCACAAGTATTTTTTTGCCTTAAATAGCTAATAATCTTTTAAAAATGGAACACATATGTCTTGATAAATGATTTTGTTATTTTCTGGAATCAAATGTTTAATTAATTTTGATGCTATACAGTTATGATTTTTTTGAGTTTATCCGTATTTAAAGTGCAATATATTGAGCAATACTGTCAATCAATTAGTTTTATTTTTCTCAGCCAAAAAAGATAATTATTGTTTACCTATTGATTACAATTTAATTTAATAATATGCTCAGCAAAGTAGACTGCTTAAACAGGAATAGAACTAAATCTTTAAAATTTCCTTTAAGACAACTTAAAAATTGTTTCTCATTGTGGCCTCAAAACCCCAAATATTATTTAGAACTTATATGTTGGCTTTAAATTTTAATCAATAAACATCACCAATAAAATTTAAAGAGGGAAATATTTCTGAGGGCTGTACATAGCTTTTTTGAAAATAATTGTGTAAAAAAAGTTATAGTTATATTGGTTTTTGTTTTAAATATTTTTAACTTTTTGTATGATAAATGTTTACAATTAGCTCTTGGGGTATTATTCTCTGTTTATATTTTCTTATTTATGTTTAAACTAATTTTAACCCAAGCACCACAATATTTGTTCTAAGTAACTTAATTTTCTTATGTTCGGTGGTTAGCCTAAAACAGTAAATAAGGAGCTTAGTGTTTTCTAAAAGCATGTTTGTATTTAGGATCAATGGACCTGCAATGGACTAGAAAGCCATTAACAACGGAACATGAAGAATTCAAAAAATTTAAAAAATTTACAAACCCTAGCATTGAACTTGGATCTTTTAAATATGAACCACCGACTGCAGTTATGTTGGGTATTATTTTTAATATCAAATAATTAATTTAGTTTTTAAATCATTATATTTTTGTTGATTTAGATAAAAATAGTCCATTTTCAGTAAACTATCTTCCATTCGGTAAACTTGTGAAAAAAAAGAAGTAATAATTAAGTTTCTATATTACAGATGCATACTGGCTCACTAGAAACCAGGAATTTCATGGGGGGCCCATCAGATTTCCCTGTACTAATTAATAATACACTTTCATTTTTTTCATTAATAATAATATAGTTTAGTTTATTTAAAACTCAAAATTTTAAATCTGCTTTTATTGTATAAAAAATTAATGACTCTAATTCATTTTAAACTGTGCTTACTTGTGCACAAATTTTAATATCATACTAAAAAAATAGATTTAACACTTTAAATAGATTAAACTATATTATCATAAATGAAAAACGTGAAAAAGTGTATTATTAATTAGTACAGGGAAATTTGTGCACAAGTAAGCACAGTTTCAATAAATTATAGTTATTGATTTCATATGTCATAGCTAATATTAGTATTTTTAAATATATATATATATATATTTAAAGGATGTGAATATCATCAACTTCAAAGATAGTTTCTACATTTCTGATTTTGTCTAATTGGTATATTAGAAGGTAATTTTTGTTTTTACTTTTTCTAAATTTGTGGAAAAAGTGATACAATTTTCAAAATTATAAATTTAAATATAATAGTGTTTGTTTTATATGGATAAAACATTAAAACATTTTTAATCACTTTCAAAACATTTGAACAAGTGGCTCTCTCCATTGTTCTTACAATAAAATATAAAATCGAAAATTTATATTCTGGATTATTTTTTTTTATTAATCTTTAAAATTTCAATTTATAATTTATAAAAACAATGAAATTTTGCTTACTACTACTACTGCTTCTATTAGTACAATTTCTATTTATCCTTTATTTAGATAAAACTCATTTTGACCTCCATACAAAAATGCTCAAAAAATTGAGGTTTATTACAAATTATACTTAGGTCGAAAAAAGTAGTAGGGTCCCGTACAAAATGAGGAGACAGTGTGTACCTGTGTTTATCATATAATATATGTGTAAATATTGCATTTATAATATAACATTAATTTAATTTTTTGAAATTTGTAGATATGAGTAATAGATTGCTACCAGACTGCATACCTAGAATTCCTGAAAGTTTTCTTAAAAAGATCTGGATATAATCGTATCAGAATTTCATCAAAGGAAGATTTGAAAAGTACTGAATATTATTAAACTTTTTAGTTTTTGTTTGGTTTAATTGTTAAAATTTATTTGGCTTTTTAAATATACAATACAATTTAATACATAGTTTATTGGTGGCCAAAGTCCACATATATTATATATATTCTTGCATTTACCCAACAGAATATGAGTGGTAAAATGAAATAAAATAATTGTTTAAACATCCTTATTAAATTACTAACATAGCAATTGATATAACTTAAATCGAATTGATTAAACATTTTAAATCATCCAACATTGGTTCTTTAAAAGATTTATCACTGTTTTCAATACAAAGAATTAAAAAAATGAATGAAACTTCCTACCTACTTGATGTATATGTTGGTTGATTATTAGAAAAATAAGAAAATAAATTTTAGTTAAAACCTTTGCAATTCAATTAATATTATAATATAATAAATGCTTAAAACTTTTGTAGCTCCAAATCCATTTTGTTTCAAAATTAACTGTCAAACGAACTCGGCTACTAAAGGTAAACTCAATTTTAACTTATTTCATAGGTTTATGTTTCGATATTAATTGTTGTTTTATTTGTACGAAATAAATTATAGCCTCCATTGGTACAATAATCTCATTTCAAACCTATTTACTTCCAAGGCTACACATATCAATGCCACCAGCTTTAGTCAGTAATAACTAGTGGAGAAAAATATTAGTTGGCAAATTGCAAACTAATATAATGTAAATAAATAATGTATAATAATATAAAATATAAAACCCTATTTTTCAACAGGACCTTTAGTACTCTTTTATTCTTTCATGGAATTTTATATTATTCCCTTGACCTATATTTACCTAATCTCTCCTTGCCATAGTACCTATTTTCTCATACTTGAATTTCATTTATTTGGTTACATGGATTAGAAAGAGAGAATAAAAGCGGTGGGCAGAGGGTTACTTTACCAACCAATATTGATATTATTAACAAATAAACATATAATAATATTAAGAAATAAGAGATAGATGTATAAGAAAATTTCCTTTTTGAGTTATATTTTATTAAAATTATTATTATATAATATATCTTTTTGTTGGATTATGTTTCTATTTCTCCAGCTTAAAACTAGCTTCAATCAAAAATTTTCAAACAATTTGAGCTATTTTTAAGCTTTTAGACATTTTAATTTTAAGAGTTTTTACATAATATTTATTATTTATTTATTCAGTAAGTACTCTGTAGATAAAATTGTAAAATCAAACAAAAATGTTGGAATATTTAACAGGAGGTTTATTATAAGTGATAACAAATTTATTAAGTTTAATGTATTATTTTTTTTTTTAACATTTATTATATATACAATCTGTAATAATATTTACAATAAGCATATTAGCATTCAGATATATTGTAATGACACAAGGGACTGAGGAAAAAAGCTACCTAGTAATAACACTGAAATATAAGAATTTTAAATAATAATAATTACAACAAATAAGCTACCTACAACCTAACCTAACCTAACCTAACAAATAAGAGTAGCATTATTTTGATAAATTTCCTGATTTCTTTTGTTTTATTCTGGTTTTTCTCAGATATGAAAGTCTCGTGGAAAATCAGAAAATGATGAAAAAAGTATCATCTGAAAAATATTTCCTTTCAGAAATAGTGACATGCATACATATCAGGGCAAGATTTCTAGTAGAATTTTTATACATAGGATAAAAAAAAATAAACATCTTTGTAAATCAATACATTCTTCGCTACAATCAGTTTCTAAAAAATTATCTAAGTACCTAAACATTTGTATTCAATTTTATGTATAAGTCAAAAACATTCTCTTCCAGCCACAAAACATAAATCTGTGTTGCATTTTGTACAAAAAACATTTGTTTAAAGTTAGCAATTTAAAAATTTGTCGGACTTATTCTAATAATTTATCTAGGTATGAATATTAACATCTTTAACGCCTAATGTAGTAATGTCTCACGTTGGGAACATACTTAACAGCTGTATTATCAACATAAGTATTAATTTTTTGAGAAAAACTGACTTGTTGATTACTCTATGGTGGAGGAAAATTATATCAGATAAATATTGTCTTCTTTAATATTATAAATTATTTAACGTAATATTTCAACGTGATATGAGTTACGTTTAATAATTTTTTAAACTACATGTAACATGTACTTTTAATAAGATAAACCTATTTAAATAGTGATCAATAATGGGTAGCTACAACTGCCACAAAAGTCAATTGCCACTATTATAAATTACATTGACCATATTACTTCGAGTAACAACTGTTCCGAATATAACTTACAAATTTTTGTTACTCCAAAATTAAATTAAACTTAATAAAAACTGTTACGAAAGGCGATAATTCCGAATTTATTTATCTATATAAGTAACCTAAACTCACTTTAGAGTATTGATTATATATTATTCCTGTTAGCACTTTGATCCTTTTTAAAAAAACCATACCACACTACTTTTACTTTAATTTTATCATAAATATCTCATTCATCTCATCGTTAAGTTTGAATCATAGATAATTTATGTCTATATAAGGCAATCATGTATACCTATTCATCTTGTATATTACCTAAGTAATTTTTAAATCCATACAATATCTCTTTTATGTGCTTTGTTTATCCCAAAATATATATTGAAAATTTGTTTATGTAAAAGCAGACATTCAGAAGTCCGTGAAATATTTTTAGGATAGTGCTTACTGTAAATAGATTGGATCAGGATATCAGCAAAACTATCCTTTGTCCATTTAGTCAATATTTGTCTTACTAGTAAGTTTTAGAAATAACACTTCTTTGTTATGGTGTTTGCTGGGACTTCATTATGTTTACCTATTCGTACTTTACTACAAACTATGTATTCATTTTGTATTTATTTATTGTGATATGTATCTCAATGAAACTACCCATACATTTTCAATGTGAAAGTAATAGATATAAGTAGAATTTTTAAACAAAACTTACAGGTTTAGGACTTCTGCGGGCATATATACATACTTTCGCTCGATGAAATTAACTAATTAAATTACTTAATTAATTTACCCACATTTAACGGGGGGGGGGAGGTTAATCAAAATTCCAGAGGGGGGCTATTGCGCACTTTGTCATATATCTGGATTCAACACTGATCCCAATGCATCTCCATTTTCTCTAATGAATAAATTAAAAATAAACTTCAATAAAATAATTGTATTTAATATTCACTTATTTAGAAACTTACTTGATTCCTTGAGTTTAATATTTTCTTAAATTTAATTGAAGTGTCATTTATAAAATTTCTTTCTATCAAAAAATAACTTATATTTTCTTAAAATATCTTAGTAAATATTGTAAATCTGGTTTATTAATACCAATTGTTTGAAATTATACCAAGGTTTACTAGAGAATCAGCTATACAATATTAGGCAATGAGCCCATGGGTTTTGTATTTTGTGTACCAACTAAACGAAAAAGTATAGGTACAAATAGTAATAGTTTAAAACAGGTATAAATTAAAATGTGCCATTTAATTACTCAATTAAGTAGCAAAAAATAAAAAATATAATAATAGGCAGGTATCTCAAGTATTAAACTTTTTCAGTTAACTAAATTTTACAAAAATAATGCTTTTATTATTTTCAATTTTGTTTATATTGTAATTCAGTTAAAAATATTTGTAGAGATTTGAAATTCGGGCAGAACATTTATATTTGCCTTTTCTTGATGTGGTAAAATTTTTGAGCAATTTATAGATATTTTAACTTTGAGAGTTTTGTACATGATTTTTATTTGGCAGGTACTCTATACAGGGGCTGTTTTAGTTCTTTGCCTAAGGGGGGGGGCAATATTTTTCGTTATATATATATAAACCATAATAAAATTAGTCAGCAAGTGTTTATATAATTATAAATTATAATAATTTATTAAATTCAGAAATAACATCTTGCTTAACTCCTTGAAAAGCTTGACTGGTGGGTAAGCTTACACTTAAAACGTTTGATAGGGTAATAATGACATCACAAACTAATAATTACAAATTGTATTTAAAAGTATTTTGGGTTTTGTTAAAGAAATGTGACTATTCCATTCTGAGATTGCAACTAGAGATTTAACAATTTCTGAGAAAAAAAATTGAAATTAAATTACACTAGTATGGCGTTCAGTCCATTTGGTTTCACAAAGACTTGTTAAACTCCACTTTTGTTCTTTTAGAGTATTTTTTTAAAATAAAACCCCTTTTTAATGACTTATTAAAAAAAGAAATGACATCTTGAATTATTCCTACATTATTTCTTACTGATTGTACATTTGATAATTTTGATATAAATAGATTGAGAGAATAATTAGAACATGGACTATGAATAGCATAATGTGTAGTTTTTAATTTGTTGAATTTGTTGCTCCTCGTATGGATGATATCATTACAGCACAACCATCTGTACCAATTCTTATAGAGTAATCTAGTTCTAAAGACATTTCTTTTAGCATAGATACAACAGTATTATCTAATATTTCACCAGATCCATTTGGTTCTAGTTTTTTACTAAGTTCAATATTATGTTCTTCATCAATGCTGTTAACTGCTTCATCATACTTGCTTTGGGTATAAACATATTCATGACAATCAAGAAATCTAATAAATTGTTCATTAACTTTATTATTAGTATCAATATATCTAAGTATGAGACTCATTTGTGATATATTAATTGTGTTGGTTGTTTCTTCAAATAATATTTCAAATAGTATAATATTTTTTTTTTTTACAACTTTCAAAATATGAAACATTATTTTATTTTGCCTATAAATAATAATATAGTTTTGAACAGAATGTGAATTTAGATGATTTTTCAATACATGATCACCAGAAGCTATTCTAAATTTCAATACCTAACGAAAATTACCTTCATTTATACAAGAGGAATCAGATATGTCTGATAGAAGACTATTATGTTCTTGATGACCTCTAAATGCAACATTCTGACGTCCCAAAAAAATAATTTACTGTATAATAGGCTTTAATTAGGTTTCCTGTTCTCATTAACTTGTCTCATACATACTGTGTTAATTAAATTAATAACTTGTTTATTATGTTCAAGATAGTCAAAAATATCAGTAGAGCTTAAAGCAACATCTTTATGATATTTAGTCTTACTGTGAGTTTCCAAATATCCATTTCTGCCATGCAGTTTTGCAAACTCTTGCAATGGTTTAGTTACAAGTTTCTGTAAAGATATATTTTTTCTTTTCCACCATTCTTGTGAACTAAACAAAGAACAAATATTTTATAAAATAAACCAGAATATTTTTCTGAATTAGACAGCCAAGAGTAATTATCAAATTATTAAATCTTAAAAATCTTTTTCTTTCCACTCCATTTTTCATGTGAACAGAAAACGGGAACTTGTAAGGTGATTCTGGTTTCCATGAATAATTTAACAACCGAAATTTATTATGATCATCAATTTTATATATTATCAAAAAAATTTCCTTTATTAATATTAAAATTGAAACAAATGCCCTTATGATTTTCAATTTTTTTATGCTTAAAACGATGGTATAAATTATTTTACCGGAAACTATTATTTTAGAAGTTATAATCTTCCAAAGTTTGTAACAAGGTGTACACGATTGCCTTATGTAAACATAATTATCTATGATTCAAACTTAACGATGAGATGAATGAGATATTTATGACAAAATTAATGTAAAAATAGATACCAAAAAATAGTGTGGTGTAGCTCTTTTAAAAAAGATCAATGTGATAACAGCAATAGTATATTATGATTTAAAAGAATCGCCGTAACACCAAATCAAGGTTAGTGGCTACATCACTTATATAGATAAATCAATTATCGGAATTATCGCCTTTCGTAGCAGTTTTTATTAAGTTTAATTTAATTTTGGAGTAACACACATGTGTAACAGTTATATTCGGAACAGTTGTTATTAGAACTTCGAAGTAATATGTAGTATATAATTGTTTGCAAACGTTTTGATACCTTCGTGCTCCCAGTGGTTGTCTGAAAATTTGATAATTGTTGAGGTAGGAACAGACTATTGTCACGTTACGTGAGCTCACGTGTTGTCACGTTGGTATATTTTAACCGTGATGTCACGCTTAGAAATAAATTATTGTCACATTATCAAGTTGTCATGCTTTATCACGTCACCGTTTTATTCAGAGTCACTTTTGATTGTACGACTGTTGAATGAACGCCACTGTTTATCTACTGTGTTCACACACATTTTTATTTTATAATAAATTTAAAATGAATAGAAAAACTTCAAGTAGTTCAGAGTAGGAAGAAGAATTGAAAACAACAGCTGTATTTGTGATTTCAGATGAGGCAAATAAAAAAACCACCCGATCAATCTGGGTACATGAAATCAATAAAAAAAAGGGAACAATTGAGCGAATTCCATCGTTTAGTTCGTGAATTACGAAACGAACCAAAACGGTTCCACATGTATTTCCGGATGACAAAAGAAGAATTTGATTATTTGCATGAACTTATTAAACAAGACATACAAAAGCAAAATACTCAATTTCGAAACATGATGTTCACGAACTTTTTCGATGAGAAGTTCATCCATAATAAAAATGTTAATTTTTTTTTTAAAGTTAATGAACTAGCTTAAAATTGTTCTTAATATCAATAGCGTTATAATTATATGTACATATAAATTATGAATAATAACAAAATAGACAAAATTCGTGAGCTCATGCAGTCGAAAATATGTGTGAAGTTAGAAAATCAAAACGTGACATCACGGTTCATCACGCGTGAAGTAGGAAATATGACATGACACGCGTGAGGTGACGTTAATGTGGTGCTGATACATTAAAATACTGTATAAACCTATATCCCACACTTTTTTCTCGTCACGTGGGCTCACGTGACAACGCGTGAGCTTACGTACTTGACAATAGTCTGTTCCCACCTTTAGTCTCAATTCTTCCCAGATAGCAATTCCATGTTGCTGGTACACTGTAAATATAGTTCGTTTTAAACATTGATACTGAAATATTTCAACAATATTGTTAGCAAGACCAATGACAAAAACGAATAATGTGTTCACAATATTGTAGGGTTTAAAATTAATATTGTGGCATTACTAAAACCATGTAATGAAGGCGTACTGGAAATATTATTATAATAACAATAATAATAATTATAATCGAGAAAAAAAAAATATTGGAGGAAAAAACGCAAATAATCAGACGAGTGGGCGGCCTGATAGGTATGTTTTCCATTGCGCGATCTCGAACGCGACCCGTGATCTGAGATAACGTGCTTCGATCGCACGACTGCTGATACAATATTCTTGGTTGTCTTTGCGCGATCGCGGTCGGCTATGTTAATTGTGAACTGGTTTAATGCGCGAATTCGAACTGACTGCTTAAGCAGTCAAATCGCGTTTTGAAAATAATTATTAATATGTAATCTATAATTATTATTTTATAATTGAGCAGTGGAGAAGTCCACATTAACATATGCCGCGTTATGTTAAATAATATGCAATAATTTGATAGGTACCTATTCAGTACTCATTTATGATAGACCACTCGTTGACATCGGTCGTTGAGTTCTGCAATGGCCCAAGTTTAACAAAGTCGAAGACGATGTTAAATCATCTCTTATTAGATTCAAAATAAAATCGGACTGATCGTGGTTTATTTTAAAAAATTCCCCGTACTTGATTTCATTATTTTTCAAACGGCCGTTGATAAGAATTTCATGATGAATACTTCAGTACTTCTCTTAGTAAATAATGGACCTTTTTTTTTTCTCCGGTAGAGCAAAACCAGAGTAAAACCTCATCATAATCTTCTTCTAGTAAAAAATGTTCAAGATTTCTGTATCCATATTATAATAAATTTATATCTCATTATGAACTATACATTTTATTAATCTGGATCGCAATGTAGAATAGTCTAGAATAAACTAAGATGTCGCGACTGCGATCGCGCAAGGGAAAATGTACCTTTACCGACCCATACGGACCGGCGGCGGCGGTGCCCACGGATATCGCGAACTGGCATCCATACCTATTCTATAGGGTTTTTCAATAAGAGTGGGTCGATGTTGAAATGAAATAAAATAAGCTATGTACGAGGTATTAGTGAAATTTTTTTTTTATTTTAAAGTTCTAAGTATGCCAATTATGTTTTGAATATAATATCGTTTAAATGTCCGCCACGGCTTCTCACAGTGGCACGAATCCGAGTGGTCCAATTTTCAATGACTTTGCCGCATAGATCCGGTTGAATTTGAGTGATGGCCTGGGTTATGTTCACTTTAAGGTCATCTGTAGATTTCGGCTTATCGGCATAGACCTGCGAATTCAGGAAACCCTACAAGAAAAAGTCTAATGGGATCAAATCACACGATCTTGGTGGCCAATTCACGTCTCATCGGTTTCCGGATCATACTCGAAAATCCAAGGCTCGTCTCCAGTAATGACACGTTCTAAGAAAGAAGGGTCATTTTCAATCTGTTTCAAAAAATCGAGACACCTGTCCCTCCTGTTGTCCTTTTGGTCTTGCGATAGAATTTTCGGAACCATTTTTGCACAAATTTTTCTCATCTCCAAATCATTGGTCAAAATGTGATGAACGGTGGTGTGAGTCAATCCTAACTGTTCTCCGATCATTCTGACGGTCAACCGACGATCGGATCGGACAAGATCTCGAACTCTGATGACGTTTTCATCAGTTTTTGCAGTTGAAGGTCTTCCACTGCGAGGTTCATCTTCAATCGCCTATCTGCCTTCAGAAAATGCCTTAAACCACCTAAAAAACCTGAGCCCTTGAAAGTACACTTTCTCCATATACTTGTTGGGGCTTTTGAAAAGTTTCTGTCGCACTGTGTCCAAGTTTGAAACAAAATCGGATAGCACACCGTTGCTCAAAATTGTTATCACTCGTTTTCAGAACGTACTAAAAAAAATCGGTCTACGAAAATAATTGTCACAGACAAACACGCGACAATACGGAGTTTGAATTCGTACTGAAGGTACTAGTGGTGGGTCGTTACTGCTGTATTCGGTACAACGTAACGATTACATTGGTGGAACGAGTACATTTATCGTTCCATATTCGTTCCATCAGTACAAAGTTAACTAACTACAAAATAGTCCCCAATGATTACTGATTACTGAGAACTGACACCGAGTACCGTACCGATTACCGACAGTAGTCGAATAGTAACGAGTTATCACGATCATAGACGTAAACAGCCGGTTCCACACGATTCATGTACTCGGCGAATAATCGTCAATCGTAATGCTTTACGACTTTACTAGTCGTGTATGAGGTATTTCATCAAATTTTTATCCATATAATTATTTTAAGTTTAGGCAAGTACCTAAGTTAATTTTGAAAGTTTCAATTTATTTATTTTATTGTTATCAATCCATTTGTTTGAGGATAAAGNTCGAATAGTAACGAGTTATCACGATCATAGACGTAAAAAGCCGGTCCCACACGATTCGTGTACTCGGCGAATAATCGTCAATCGTAATGCTTTACGACTTTACGAGTCGTGTAGGAGGTATTTCATCGTCAAGTATGGCGATTATTTTAACTCGCCGAGTCACTCGTGGTTTCCCGTCGTCAGATCGAACACGAGGGACTCGTGCTGATAAGAAATTTTATTGGGACCGGCTTAAAATAGATATTATGCAGTGCATAATATCTATGCATAATATGCATATTTATAAGAGTACGATAACGATCATTTTATTGTATTTTTATTTTTATCATGAGATTACACAATATGTATAAAACAATTTTTAGATTATTTAGATTTCTTCTTGACACTATTTTTTGGTAGGCTCTGTAATTTGTATTATAATTATAGGCATTAAGCAGTATTGCTAGTAGGCACTTTATGTCAGACGTACATGTGTCTAGAGTTATAGACCTATTGATTTTTCATAAATTGTAATAATGGACAGAAAAAAAAGCGGTGTATGGAATCACTATTCGATTATTAACAGTGAAAAGGCTAAATGTTCGTATTGTTCGAGTTCGGTATCATATAAAGGTGGGTCAACTTCAAATTTGAGTAAACATTTGAAACGGAAGCACATAATTCAATACGATAGTAGAAAACATCCGCGTATAAATGAAATTAATGAACAATATGTTGATGAACCAAGTTAGCAAAATACGTCTGTATCAAATAATGATCAAATCCAACATTCTACATCAGTCAGTGCAATTAATCTAATGAATAAATCTCGTCCCATACAAAAAAGTGTAGATTCTTATATTATTAACAATAAACCAATTTCTGTTTCAAAACAAAAAATAATTGATGAACAACTAGGAGTTATGATTTCAAAAGAATTCCAACCTTTCAGATTAGTTGAAGATGTTGAATTTAAAAAATTCATAAATTTATTAAATCCTGGGTATCAGTTACCATCGAGAAAAACTGTTACAAAATCTATTTTACTACAGTTGTATGAAAAAACAAGAGAGAAAGTTAAAAATAATTTATTGAATGCCAAATATATTTCATTTACAACTGATGGCTGGACTTCTTTAAATAATGATAGTTTTATTGCTGTCACTGTACACTTTATAGATCCAGAAGAGTGTGTTTTAAAAACCTTTTTACTTGGATGTTTTAACGTGGTTCACACAGCAGTAAATTTGTCATTATTTTTAAATAATTGTTTTAAAGAGTGGAATATAACAGAAAAAGTAAAAGTTGCTGTGAGTGATAATGCTGCGAATATAACATCAGCAATTGGTATGAATCAAAATTGGCGCCATATCCTCTGTTTAGCGCACACATTAAATTTAATTGCACAATCCGGACTAGATGAAATAAAAAACGTTCACAAAAAAGTAAAAACCGTCGTTGAGTATTTAAACGAAGTACAAAGGCAAATTTAAAACTTAAAAATGCACAAAAACAAATGGGGTACCCGGAATTAAAATTGATTCAAGACGTATGTACGCGTTGGAATTCCACGTATGACATGTTTCAACGGTGTATGGATATAAAAGAACCTCTTATGAGTACAATTGCTATTATAGGTAATATGGATAATTTAGTATACGAAGACTTTGAAATAATAAAACACTACTGTGCGATATTTAAACCTTTCAAAGAAGTAACTGTCGAACTAAGTAGTGAAAAAGGCATTTCGATTTCAAAAGTCATAATTTTAATAAAAGCATTACATTCACATATAAAAACTAAAGAAAAAGAACCAAATTTACCAAATACTATACATTTGATGCTTTCTAAAATGTTAACAAAAGCCAATGCTAAATTTGAAAATATTGAAAACCAGCCTATTTTAACAGAAGCAACCATTTTAGATCCACGCTTTAAAAAAAAAGCATTTGATAATCTGTATACATATCAAAAAACATATGAAAAGATAAAACAAAAGGTTGCAGGAATTATTCGTTTAAACCAGAATCCAGCAGAAAATGAAAAAAATGAGAAAACCATACCGACCGATAGTGAAAATGCAACTTCTGAAATTTGGCAACATTTTGATTCTCAGGTACATAAATTATATTATCATTGATATTTAAGTAGTTTACATAATAAGTTAATGATTTTTAGGTGTCAACTTCAACTTCAGTCAACACGCCAACATCTGAAGCTATTGTTGAGTTGGATAGATATTTGAACGAACCTATACTAGACCGAAAATCAGATCCCCTTAAATGGTGGAATGACAGAAAAAAAATGTATCCAAATTTATTTCATTTAATGTTATTGCGTTTGTGTGTACCATCAACATCAGTCCCGAGTGAAAGGACGTTTTCAAAAGCTGGCTACACCATTTCCGAAAGACGTAATAGGTTATCAACAAAAAATACCGAAATGTTAATATTTTTAAACAGTAATTATTAAATACTATTATATTATTTTAAATTTTTATCCATATAATTATTTTAAGTTTAGGCAAGTACTCAAGTTAATTTTGGAAGTTTCAATTTATTTATTTTATTGTTATTAATCCATTTGTTTGAGGATAAAGTGCAATGTAACATAACATTGTCAATGTTTTTTTTATATTTGTATTTTTATAATTATTTTTGTTGAAAACAAATTTTTTTTTTAAATCGGTACTTTATTGTAATTGTACCGATTGAAATAATATTAAAACGGTAGTAATTTTTGATTAGGCATTTCAAATGTGTATTTATTATTTATATTATAATACTGGAAAAATAGTGTATCTGTTACAAATTTAATTATTTAAAGCTAATTTTTTTTCAAATGCAGTAAAATAATGTCGTATATTATGTATTTTGAACAATACGAATCCGAGTACAAATGTAACTAAATAAAGAATGTACCGATTGTACCGACGTAACGAGTATTTTGGAATCGGTACTGTACAGTAACTGTACCGATTGGAACGATAATTCCCACCACTGTTAGTGACTGAATAATAAAAAATAAATTAGACAGACGTCAACAAAACGATATGCAGCGCAGATAAGATCGGCCCGCTCTAATTGGAAAACCCTATAACCTAACGCCTAACCGACTGAACCACTACGATGAAAACGTCGGTGTTATTATAGAAAAGAAATATCTATGGTATTAAGGGTATATTTGCATTCAACGCTAATTTTAAACACAAAATGAGTAGATAACGTGTAGGAATATAAATAATAGTGTCGCCGTATGAAGGGAATATTACATGTTTACTTAGATTGGTATGCTGCGTGTCTTAAATTTAGTATCAGATCTACCGTATAGAGTTACAATCCCCTAGACGTATGTGTTCAGAATTTGAAATTCACTAGTAAGTATTTATATTTTATCTTTGAAACTTACGATATATAATCTACAAAAATAATATAGATCTGGAAGTCAATTCCACGTGTTTGGCGTATGAAGCTTCATGACACCAGACGGGTTACATTAAAATAGTTCAAGGTTTTCCTAATCGTTTTCATCAAAATCACGATAACATATTTGTAGAATTGACGCTCTGTGGTAAAAATCAATTTTATTAAGTATTATTGAGTTAATAATATTAAATGAAAAATCTTTAAGCAGTTTGTGAATATTATAAAGTAGCCTAAATTTAACACTAAAATGTTTAATTGATTTTACCAAATTTAATTATAGGTAAATGCGTTATAACTGATAAAAGATTATAAATGTCAGTTTTAAATTTAAAAACCAATAAAATGTGTACTTTAAATTCAACGGAATTTGAAGTGAATCAGCCACCCGACGACACAGTTTCAGCGTTGGCGTTTAGCCCGGCTTCAATAGCACAAAATTTTCTCATTGCTGGTAGTTGGGACAACAGTGTTAGTTTTAAACATAATATACATACTACCTACTCGTGTGGTGTAATTTAAAATAATTTTTTACTTTAACACTAGGTACGTTGTTGGGAAGTTGAACAAAGTGGTAAAACTATTCCCAAGGCTATACAATCTATGACCATGCCGATTCTAGATGCTTGTTGGAATGATGATGGTACTCACGTATTTATGGCCTCTTGTGATAAACAAGTTAAGTGTTGGGATTTAGGAAGTAATCAAGCAATGCAAGTTGCAGCTCATGACGCACCTGTAAAGACATGTCATTGGATCAAGGCTTCAACATATGCTTGCCTTATGACTGGATCATGGGATAAAACATTAAAGGTGTGTAGATATATAGGTAAATTTATAACAAAATAGATTGAATACAGTTTTTTAATATGTACACTCCGCTCAAATATTTGTTCAATTAACTTATTGCCATAATTCTCCACTTCTTATTGGCTAACATTAATATTGCCTTTTATAGTGGAGAACTACAACATAGGTTATGAATTTATGGGTAATATGCTTATATAAATACTTTAAAAAAGATCCGTGTCCATTTAACCTCATTGGATTAGGCCTTTATGTATAATTTTTCTGTTTTTAGTAAATATATGTATACAGTGGATTTCGTTTTATCCTAGCTCGTTGGAACCAATTAAATTTGCCCACATTAAGTGGTTGCCCATTTCCATTGTTATACATAAGAATCTGGATCAGACTATTATGTCCATATTAGGTGGCTACTTGCATTAACCAGTGATCACATTTAGCGGAATCCACTGTATATATATTTGTTGTACCTATAAATCTTAATTATAAAGTTATTCAAGTTAAATACTATTACAATAAGGATATTAATATATAATAATATTACTTTGTTATTTTATATTATAATAATTATAATATACTAAATTAAATTTATACATTAACCATATAATATGTACAGCTGTATCCATGCTATTAATAAAGGAATGTTTTTAGCAAAATGTATACACTAATATTATCTCTAATGTGGGGTAAAAATGTACCCCAGTCATACTTAACATGCAAATACAATTTTTATTGTGTATCTACCTGTTTCAATCATTAAATTTACCTTCAATATAATATATGGATTATACAATTATTTCTATGATTAATTTTTGTTTTATCACTTTATACATTTTTTCACCATAAACCTAATAAGTTATATATTGATAAATAAAATAAAATATTATATTTTGTATTACCAGTATTTAAACAATGTTTTAGTAATCATTTTATTATATTGTGGTAGTGATGGGTAAATTTGGTATACTTTAATTTTATCAAATTTATTAAGAAAAATTTAATAGTATAGTTTCATTTTTCAGTCTAAATAACAAAAAAATATTAAATAATTTTGTAGTAAAATAATTGAACAATATAATTCAGTCCATTTAATTTACAAAATATAAGAAAAAAAAATGTATGTAGATATTAAAATTATAAAAGAGTTGGACAATTTTAAATACTTTAAGTTTCAATTTCAAATTAATTTTCTGTAGTCACATGACTCATATGATATTGCATCAGACAAAGAATCTGAACTAAAGTTATTTTCTTCATATTCCGAGAGATTATCATCGTCAATTTAATACTGTTCATCTAACAAATGACTATGACTAATTGGATCTGGAACCTCCAATAATAATAGTGGAGGTTAGCGGAGGTGTAAGTTTTTTTATTTTTAAACTGTGAATTGACTTAGATTAGGTTCATTTTTTCTGTTTATATATTTCATTTTTCAATTTATAGTTATGAGCAATAATACATAATTTTCCTGCCTTTTCTGTACTTAATCTATTTTTTTATATAATATTAATAATTATAAATATTATGAATATTGATTCAAATTACATTACCATAAATAATATTGATGAGCATATCAAAAAAAATATTTATCCAAATTTTGGGTAGGTAAAAATACTCATGAATATTTACTCTTGGGAATATTACTATATTATGGTAAATTTGTACCCAGTACAAGTGGTCAAGGGTTAATGTACACTCTAAAAATAAACAATCAAATATATAGTCATAATATAATAGTTATTTTAATTGATATAGATATGAACATTATTTTTACTAAAACAGACTTCAACTATCATAGTGGGTGCCATAACTTAATAATCTAAAAATGTTAAATCAACAAAATATGTATAATATGTATAATAATTTAACTTATACAGTACATGGTTAAACAGTGATTACATTTTTATCTATGATTAAGATTTTTTCCTGTTGTACAATGCCTGTAAACTGCTTAAACACCAATTAAAAGACATTAAAATATCAAAATATCTTTTGAGGTATTGTGTGAACAAATTAGTGCATTTGCCTAACTAAAAAAAAAATGTTTTAAAAATGTAAACATAAAATACAACTTTTTAAAAAAATATTTGTAATTTTGAAAAATATTCCCATAAAGTAGTTTCATGCCTACAATTGATATTTAAATTTATTAAGTTGTAAGTTGTAAGTTAACCTTTTGAGGAATTGTGGTATTATAGTGAAACCACATAATTGTTTTTATTATATTTTTTTTTAATGTAATGAGTATGCTAAATTTTAATATTTTCCAAAAAATTAATGTTTGTCTCAAAAGGTTAAAACCTCATACAATAATCTGTGTGTTAAAATGGAAATATACAATATTTATAGAGACTATAATTTTATTTTCTAAGGCTTAATAAGAGAAGGTATACTCCAAAAGTCTAGATTTTATATATTTTTTTATATATATACATAATATATATTGTGTATTTTATTCAGTTTTGGGATCTCAGGAGTTCAAATCCCATAATGACCATTGTATTGCCTGAAAGAGCGTATTGTGCCGATGTGGTAAGTTAGCAAAATAAGTTTTCACATAAATAAATTATCCTTATATGTAATTAATTTAATGTATTTAATTTTTGTTGTGTTGATTTTAATATTATTTATAGGAGTATCCTCTTGCAGTAATTGGTACTGCTTCAAGAGGTATAGTGACCATTAACTTGGAAGGAAATCCTAGAGTATTAAAACCAGTGGAGTCACCTCTTAAATATCAACATCGGTGTATTGGAATCTTTAGGGATAAGAAAAAACAGACACCTCTTGGTTAGTTGGTTGTATATTTTTTTTAAATAATTATAATAATTAAAAAAGTGACTTAAAATAAATTACAACATAAAACACAACATTTAAAGTTTTTATTATGTTTGTTTATAGGTATTGCTTTGGGATCTATTGAAGGGCGTGTAGCCATTCATCATATAGAACCATGCACAAAAGATAACTTTACGTTTAAATGTCATCGGCAAACTAATACAACAACCATAACTGTTCAAGACATTTATGCTGTATGTATTATATGTTTAAATATAATACATTTATCTTATAATTTACAATTCTTTTATTAGGTTAATGATCTTAAATTTCATCCTATTTATGGTACATTGGTAACTGCAGGATCTGATGCTATTTTTTCATGTTGGGATAAAGATGAGAGGTCTAAAGTGAAGATGTCTGATAAATATGATCAACCGATAACCAAATGTTGTTTCAACAGTAATGGTCAAATATTTGCACATAGTATTGGTTATGATTGGTCAAAAGTTAGTATAAATCTTGATATTTATTGAATAATTATAAAGTTAAGAATAAACCAAAGAAATATAATATATAGTATAAACTGTCTATAATGACATTCAAGGAATTAGTTAAAATTATTCTAACTAATTAACTAGTTAAGTTAATAACTTATTTTCATCATAATAACTAAAATGATAAAATAAAATTTAAAAACTTGATTATGTATATGTGTATGTATTTATATGAATATAATTTTGTACTACAATCAATGTGTCAATTATTTTACAGTGTTAACATTGAAATTTTAAAAATATATTTTAAATACATGTACATATCACACAAAAGTCAAAACTGGTTTCAAAATTGTTATCAATTCACCACGTTCTTTGGACTGATTGGAAGAAAATAGTAATAGAAAAAAGTTCCTATTCTTGTTAAATAAATACAGAAAATATTGGTATCTGAGTTCCTTCAATTTAAGTAAATTGAATATAATTTAACACAATGAATAAATAAAGTTTATAAAATTAAAACTTGAATAACTGTACAAATCATACAAATATACATTAAAAATGTAGTGTTATCTTTTTTATAGCACTTAAAAGCTACATAATAATGCTAAAAATGGTCTAAAAAACAATATATTTCTAAAAATGTTAAAATATAAAAATTACTAAAAGTCCCTAATTCTAATAATATATTATATTATTTGTTATTATTGCAGATTTCAGATTTTATATAACTAATAAATACTAAAATATAGCATTTAAAGTGAAATTTAAAAAAAAAACTTTATTTGTTATCAAACTTAAAAATATATTTAAGATAAGAATGACATTGATTTTGTTTATTATTTTGTATTAACTTCCATTAATCCTATATTTTATTTATTAGGTCTCTATGGGGCTATCTAAAAATAGATGATAATATGAAATATTATTTAACGAACTGAAAAGATTCACATGATAGACAAATTTGTCTATTATTTTTTATACTATTTATGGAAAACACAAAATAAATTATTATAATAATAGTACTAAAAGTGTATTTATCAATATAATATAACAAATAACAATAACAACTGACTAAAGGAGGAAAAATTAGAATTTAGGATTGAATAAAGTTATACTGGCTCACTTCTAAAAAGCTCAAAGCTTGTGATAAGAAATTTCTAAGAATTTCCTATTACAGTATTATAGATAAAAGTATATGTATGAAAATTAAATTATCTTTATCATTCACAATACAAAATATAATACCAAATACTATAAAAATTAAATTCAAAGAAAATTCATTAATATTAATGATTTATAGTTTTAAATTTAATGTATTTTATATACAATTTTAAAAAAGATTTTTATTTTATCATGTACAATAATACCCCATGTAATCCACAGTTTTAAGTTTTTGGTTAAAATAATTTAATTATCTAGACATTTTTCTAGTAGCCTTATTTATAACTCAATAATATTAATGAAATTTATAACATTATTAATGCCACTAAAACTTAAAATATTATGCCAATTGAGGTTATCGATATTTAAATTTAATCCATTAAAATCAATGATCAATGATAGGTATAACTTTATTATAAAATTGCTATTATTACTTTGAACAAAATTATCAATATTTAAGTTTAGACAAAATTATACTAATGTGGTCAGATATAAAATAAAGATAAACATAAAAATTTGTTAATGTTAACTGGTAAAATTTATTTATATTATTAAATTAATAGAAACCAAACCTGGCAATAGTATTAAATACTCAAATACTTAAATTATGTTTTTTTAAAATATTAATATTATTATCACTGCAAATAATATGCTACTTAAATAATTGTTATTAGAAATTAAAAAATCACCCACTTTATCATATCTATAAATCTATAACGGCTAGTCATAATGTACTCTTTGTCATCAATATCAAATATTATTGTGCATATTTCCAAAAATTGGCACTAAATCTTGAAAAATACAAATCTAAAAATAAAGGGTATGAAGGCTTTGAATATCAAAAAAGCAATATAAATATTGTATTTGGAATTCTTAGTGCTTAAAATAAATGTATAGTTAACCCTATTATTTTTATTTGCACCTTAAAATAGTTAGCAAATACTAAAAAACTAAAAAAAATCCTAGCCTTGAATATTCTCAAGTTAGTAACAAAATGGTATAATGATTATACATTTTAAGTACTTATAGTATTGATATTTTGTGAATTTATAAATATTTCTATGTATACACTATACAGATGTCCCATGAGGATTCAACAAATGCAATAACTTTTGTTCTATTCAATATTTTTGATATATTTGTATATATATATATTTTTTTAAATAATTAGTACGTCTTTGCACTTCAGATTGATATTACCTAATATCTATAGTATGATAATATTATTGCTTGATATTAACTCATAGGAAAGAAAATCCTTGTCATGTGCCCTGACTGATTAAATATTGAAATATTCACATTTACAAAAACTTCAAAAATCGTAAAAAATAAAAGACCATATTTTAATAAAAGTGTCAATTAGTTGAATTTTTTTAAAAAATTATAGTAAAATTTTAAATTTTTTATTTAAGCTCCTCCCTCTAAAGAAAAAAAAATATTCATATATAAACTGTAACACAGAGGCATACTTATTATTTAAAAATATATATATCAAAAATATTGATTAGAACAAAAGTTATTGCATTTGTGGAATTCTCGTGGGACACCTTGTATATATTGTCTATATATTATTATAGCAACATATTAAATTAGTTATTAAAACTAGTTTGTTATAATTTGTATTGTGTATTGTAATTTGTAAGTTAAATTTATTATTAAATATAATAATAAAGGAAAAACAAAATTATTAAAATGTTTATAACTTGTAAATAAATATATAAATGTTTTATTTGTGTATTTATTCACTATACATTTATTATGTATACAATGATATTTTCAGGGTCACGAATTTAATAATCCAGCTAAAAAACCCAAGATATTCTTAAGATCATGCTATGAGGATTTCAAACCAAAGAAAAATTAAACTATTGTATATTTATTTTAAAAGCTTAACTATATATTTATAGTTTTTAAATGAAAGTCCTACAAGTATTTTTTCTGTTACTATTTTATATTTAAATGATAAGAATTTACTTATTTAATAATAATAATGTTTCTTTTTCTTTTTTATATTTTTAACCATTCTTGTGTTCTATAACTAATTTAATTTGAAAAGTAATCTAAAACTAATTAAAGTATACATTTTAATATTTTATTTTCTTATTTATGTAGAATTTTGAAAGTGTTGATATTTTAAGAATCTTGGAAGTGTATGTATTATAATAAAATACAATATTAACTTGGTTTAAATTTAAATATGTACTGCTATTGAAATTGAGTAAAAACCTGTGTTATAATGAAAAAAGTGCTTCATCAATGATTTTAACTCAGCAAAATACATATAATCGAAAAAAAAAAATGAATCCTCTAGTAACTAGATTTGTTAGATATAATTTTGTACTAAAACGATTTTCGTCAAAATTTGATATTAAAATTTTTATAAAAAAAATTACAACATTAAACTCAATTTATTTTATTTTTATATGACTTATAATTTATAAGTTAAAATGAACTTCCTCTTCAGTTTTAAAATTGTTCTGTTTAATTTAAGGATGTTATTCACAGTTATCAATTATCATATTAGCATTTGAGTAGCCATTTATTTACCAAACTTTGTTATTTATTTTAAGTACACATCCACATGTATACATGCTTACACACCCAGTAGTACACTAACACTCCTCATCTTGATCCATGACCTCGTCCACTTGCTGCTGAGTGGTAACACACAGACAATAGACCAAGCAGCGAGAAAGCATTATGGCTATTATAATTAATCTCTTGGCGATTCAATATCTTTTAATTTTTTTTTTCTAATATTCTGTATTCATATTAGGTAATGAACATAGATATTTCAAAAATATATAAAACAGATTTTGAAGACAAGGTAAGTTTATTTTTAAATATTCAATCTAGGAGAAAGTATTATTATAAATGTATTTAGATTATCTATATAATAAAAATGAAATACTGTCTGTTGGTCTAAATGATGATTTGCGAAATGAAAAATTGGAAAAATTATCTGGAAGAGTTAAACACTCCACGTTCGGCCTCTTTGCAGTAGTTTGACGTGGCACACAATATATCTATGACTTGGTCGAAAGTTTTTTATACCACAAAAAGAAAGATGATAGGACTAGGGAGATGAAGGGCCAACTGACACGATCCTCCCTCACAAACTAAAGGAAAGCTTCAGGCACGAGACTTCAGACCAGCAGGTTCTGCGAACTAGGCAGTGAAGATCACGGCGAATGACTCCCAAATATTTTAGGGAATGCACTGGAAGACTTTTCTGTGCATCCCTATTATTTACTATAGGTATTGCAATGATTTAGACGTATTATTTCAATAAACTATGGCAGCAGGGACGCAGTAATTGTAATATTCAAACAAACCTTCTCTGCTAACCGTGAAACTTGGGGAAATAAAGATAGGTATAAGGTACATATGACGTGATTCTGAAACGTTTTCGAGTATTGCACACATACAAATAATAACTACACTAACCAAAATATAATGCATTTTCTAAAATAAATTTACGTTTTATTTTAATGTATCTATACGTACAATAAATAAATATTACAAATAGGTAACTTATAAATAAAGCACAATAATGAATAGCAACATTAATTTAGATGTAAATATTAATGTATACACTTTACATTTATTATACATACATATAGGTATATATAGGTATGTATCTATATTATAAAGACATAAAGTACGATGTCGGACGTATCTATATTGATACTCTGTAATTGTACGGAAGAAATTTTACGTAAATATTATTATTCGTATTGCCTATTATATTATTTTAATAATTATTGATGTGATGGTTGTAAATATTAAATTCAATCTTCAGTGCATACGAATTTAACTAAAGAATTGAGTTTAATTATTTGACACGAAACTTAGATACTTATCCATAATATTATTAAATACTTAATAAGTACCTAATAAATGTATACAAACTCTTAATTCAAACGTCTCAAACATATTAGTAATTTGTATGTATCGATTTTAGTTGTCTGTATATTATAATATCATTAAATTATATCTTTATCTATAAAAAAAATTATTAAAAAATGTTATTAAATTGGTACAAATGTAAAAAATTGTTCAACGAAATGGACGGAAATTATTATACTAGGTATATGAGTAAATAATATAATAATATAGGTACTTATATAATTTTACACTATACACTGTACAGTGATAATACAACGATAATGGTAATAATAATAGGTAATAATAATTGGCAAGACGTGAAATTAATATGAACATAAAGTAAGTTCGTCGTCAGGGTTATAAGTATAAAGTGTCGTTTTAATTTGTTTAAATGAAAAATAAATCCATCGGTTTCGCGGTAACATTTTATTATAGCTAGGTTATTAGCTATTTATAATTTAAAATTTAAAAATTAGAAAGATTTATAATGGTTTAAAATGTATTAAATACAGGTTATAGATGTATAGCTAGTTATATTATTGTATGAGCTTTACACGAATAGTTTCAGTGCGGTGCAGTATTCTAATTGTGGAAAATAAATTAAATTAAATTAAATATATATTATTATGATACATAGGTACCTATATATGTAGTTACCTAAATTGTTATTGTTTATTTTGATTTTCGCTCGATTGACAGTTTGGAAAACAATGATGACTGCTGTAGAAAAATTTAAAAACGTTAACATAACTGATGAATTAACTTGAGTGATGTAACGAATATGGTAAAACGGTGTGACCTGTAAAACTCGGGAACGTGTAACAGTGTAACCATGTAATTATTACATTAACTTGTGTACATTTAATCGCTTTTTAAGATACGTTAGTTTTCATTAGCTAAAAATGAATGGAAAAGAAAATTGAGTTTATCTGGGTGACGAAACAAATTTATTTTGTGCTAAGAAATATTAATTGATAGGTAATAGCGATTGAGTGAAGTACGAGTACCTTTAGAATATTTTTAAAATAAGATTATAATTTATAGTATAATTGATTTATAAAATGGTTTATGTTTAAGTATATATAGAATTGATATGTCTCTATAGTGTCTTTAGTGCTAATTTTTCCAATTAGTATTTCTTTTAAATTATATTTGTAAAGAACAAAATTAACCGATTTGTATAAGTCATAAAAGAAAAAAACCAATATTAACCGGTTAGTTAAACCGAAAAAAATAATTTTGGTTTTATTATTTGAAATAAATGAAAAAATATTATACCTACCCACAATAGGAAAACTGCGGAAAAAAATGTAACGTTTTAGCATTTGGTTGTCAGTATCTATATTATTCAACTAACGATGTACGATTTTGTATGGAAATAATAATTATCGTATTAAAAATATTTTCTACCACTTTTTTCTCCATCTATGTTAAATGACTATTTAAAAATATTATATTAAAAGGTCCACAGGTTCTTGGATGACGTGTAGTGTAACATTTTTTTTTTATTCTATTTATTTGATATATTAATACTATAAGACTAAACGATCATCATGAACAACGCACATGAAAAAACCAATCCAAAAATCTGAAAAAAAAAATTACATAGGTCATAGATAAATTATAATTTAATGTAGGTAACTAATTTTATCTTGTGGATGTATAATTACGCATTGAACAACATATTATTGGATTATACTTTTAGATTTTGAGCGTAGCGATGAAGCTATTGGTTTAATTGGTTTAACTAAGATGTTTATTTCATTTTATCTATTTTTTATTTGTTCTAGTCTGTGGACACATTTTTTCTTGGTAAACTTGCTCCGATTTTTACGTGTAGCAATTTTTCTGAAAGCTTAAGTTGTCTTAATGGTACTTTAAAGATGTTATTTTTTGATTTACGACGCAATATTTTGAATAAAAGAACTTAAGCTATTATCCATTAAAGCACATGCATTAAAAATATTCACGAAAATCCACGCACACGGTTTTCGACCGTGTATTGAAATATTTCAATTTAAACTCGTTGAATTAAAATAAAAATTATTTATTATTAAAAATGAAATTTAATGATGATAAATGATAAAAATCACCAACGATGTAGTCGTCTATGGAAAAATTTGTATTAGATATGACATATGATCATATCCGTACGTGTAATATAGTTACACACAGCATGGTGAACCAGTGTCAACTAGCAATAATCTCGCCAAACACAATGAAAATAAAATAATGATTGATAAACATTTATCAGCCAAAAATTATTATGAAACACAGCTTAAAAATAAGCCACAATTGGATTTTTATAAAATTAAATTGTTTAAAAATGTCACATTATAGCACGCACAAAATCTTTTAGACCGTTTTTTTAATAAGTAATGAGCTTTGAACTCTTCTATTTTCCAGACATCAGATCATATACAGTTGGAAGTTATATCTAATTATAGTTTATCACCTAATTAAAAGGTACCTAGGTTGAGTTAGGTTAATATTCCGTATTTTTGAAACAATGAACAAAATTCAAAAAATCTGATCTTTTAGACCGCGTGAAGCGTGTGCTCTATTTTTATATTATACATATTAGTTTTGTATTTATAAATTTTATATTAAATTAACATATAATTTATGATTAATTTACTGAAAATATAAATAGTGTGCCATGCTCAAAAAGAGAACGATGAGAAAAACATATTTAAAAAAAAGACCGATGTATTTCGCATGATGGGTCACTGTCGTAGGTGAGAAGTTGAGAAGATAGGATATAGAAGGAAATTTAAATTATATCTGTAAGCAACGATAAACTATTGCTAACGAAAAACGATTCAGAGGGAATTTTACCTATACAGTTTTTGAAAAGCCGTACAATTTACAATTTTCGTCAAAATTCGATAATAACTCTTATAAAAAAAAAAAAAAATAATACTTTATTACATTTCTTTTTTTTTTTTTGACCATTAAATTTATCCTGTTAAATTATCAACCATTTTTGTTTAATCTGATAATTATATTTACTATATTTATCTTCGTAAAAATACTTAAAATTATCATATTTATAAATAGGTCGAATAGGTCACGAATGCATTGAAAATGTACCACGTTTAAAAATAAAGTGAAATATAAGTTTTGTGTCAATATTTTAGTCTACGAAATTGTTTACTGAATTGCAACATATAAACAAAATTGAAAATAATAATAGCATTATTTTCGTTAATTTTCCCTTTATTTCTATGTCTTTTTCGTTTTTGCTCAATTAATTCAGGAAAAATCGAAAAACGTTTTTATTGTTCACCGACAAAATTAAAAATGGAACAAACCTAGGTTTGTTTTTCAGTAAAATCAAAAAATAATATTTTCTTAAAACTGAATATACATTTCTATTAAATTATTAAAAAATATAACAATAATTAGGTTAAAATTGGTTAACATGTGTTTAAAAAAACCATATGGGTTGATACGTTTATATGATTCTATGCCAACGCTGTATTGAAACTAAAACATGCATTTTTATTCTATTTGTGTTTTAAATTAATCGAAATGATTATAATAATATTTTAATCATTTAATTTTACTAGTACTGTGTGAATTGCCTAAGAGAACGTGAAATATTACAATAGGTGTTTAGGGCAATCGTAAGCTCGGATTAAGATGATTTTGGGCCTGAAACCAAACAAAGGGTCCATAAATATATTCAAAATATTGGTTTTTATACCAGCCAAGATCAGGGGCCTACAATATTAAGATATCCAGGGAACTGAGGCCATGGCCTCCTCTGGCCCCCTCTTAATTTAGGCTTGGGTCAATGATAATCTTAGACAATTTTGTTGGTAGAATGAAGGTTTTGAAGGTCTTGTGGGTAGAATGACACGATTCGATTATATTATGCATTTTGGTAATGTTTTATAAGTTATGTCATATTTTATATTCTGTCAGTATGATATTTATGCATTTATTCGAATAGAATGCTGATTGTGATAGAAGTAGGTTTCTACAATACCTACTGTATATTATGCTACAGTAGATACTGTTTAGGTATAAAAAAAATATGCTTGATGATTTTTAACGGAATTAAAATTGTATTAAAATTTTAAGTTATATTATTACTATTATTATATATTATGTTATATACCAGAAACAGTGACACGGCTATTCCGACGGTCCCAACGGTGGTCGCATGGTCCTTCATAAAAGCTGTGGTCACGTTCAAACAGCCGGTGGTGTATATCTGTTGACTCGCTTGAAAACTTAAGTTACATGGTTGCTTCTGAAAACCCGTATCGATGAATAATATAATTACTTAGATTTTTATACACACATCAATAACATTATAATTTAGTATATCGTGTGTTGGGAATAATAAAATTATATTGTCCGATTAATTAAGCCAGTATATGATTTTTAATATAAGTACATATTACATACTTTAATGTATATTTATTTGCCTCATTTAGAACGCGATAGGCGCACACTATTATATGATTACTATAATAATCCAACATAATTTAGGTATGTTGTATATTTTAAAATTGGTATTATATTTAAATTAATTATTCACCAGTCACCACACAAAAGCCAAAAAACAGACATGCTATTTTAGTCTCAAGTGTTCAAGTACACTAATATTGCAGGTCTAAGGTATGTTTGAAATATACCGAGTTATTGCATATACATTTTGGCGTTATCAAATCAAAAATTTATTGGCCGCTATATAATGGCAAGGTACGGCTGTGTTATCACATCATTAGCGGCTCTAGAGTTTTATTTCGGGGAGGGGGGCATAAACATAACACAATTATGTTATATCGAAATATATTCAGATGTTTCAAAATAATGGGAGGTATCATAGTTAAGTACTTTACTGTAATAATTGTAAAAAAGAAATTGCAAACAAAAAATTATTAGAAATTTTAGAACTATATTTATCAGACAAAACTTTATTTTCTATTAAACTTAATAATATTTTTAAATTTAAAAAATATTAAGATTATTATTATACTACAGATTATACAAAATATTACAAAAGTGAAATAAAAAATAAACAAACAAACTATAAACATCTATAAAAAAAAAAAAAAAACTACAAACAACTAAATACTAAATTACAAAAATTACAATATAAAATCTATTTTTGGAATTTTTTTTTTGAAAATCTATCTATTACTTCTTCTATATCTATAGAAATGTCTCGATGGATATGCATAAGTCCGTACCCATAACTCTGACATTGGTTCGAAAAATCAATCATCATTTTCGAACATTTGCCCTTTACCATCATAAACAAATTTAAAAACTACCTATTATGTTTCGATTTCAAGCTCTGATTTAAAAATAGGTAGCGATATTAAATAAAAAAAAATTAATCAAAAAAAAAAATTTGTTGAAATAATACGTAACCATCACAATATATAATATAAATTATAGTCAGAAAATGCAAAGTTGTCCGTTGGTAAAATTACTGTGGTAAACTGGTGTACAGCTACAAGTATTGAAGTAAGTACTAATCTGTATACGGCAGTAAATTTTATAAGAAACTAACCAAATTAGAATTTGAAATAGAAACACAAGAGTTCTAAATTGTGACTAATAATCGGAAAACAAAATACGTACTAATGTACTAAGCGAAAAGATAAGTTAAGATAAGAGAGGGCTTCCTCTAAAGCCACTACTGCTATACAGCTATGCTTTTTCATTATTTAATATGTTTATTCACTATTCATATTTAAATCTAAAATCAGCAGTTTATTTAACTATAAACAACTCACAAATTTTGATTCAATTTTTGTATTTATTTTTTACACATTACCTATTTCATTTTTCATCTTGGTTTTAAAATATATTGCACAGATAATTTGGAAGTAAAGAACAAAATTTGAACCAATCATAATGCCTTTTATGCTGCCATCTTCAGTTTGTATGTTTTATAAAATATTACAGTGGGGGTACCAGCAAAATAAATTGGTATATTTTAACTATGGTCTAAGGTATTGATTGGAATTAATTTCTAAAACTATCTTATGTAGGTTTTTTTTATAAACGTCTTGAAGTTTTTAATATTTATTTGACACAATTGTTATTAAAGGCATTTTTCGTATACGATGTAATCGTTGGTAAGTATATTTTGGACGGTTTACCTTTCCATTGATCTCTTGGCAACAACTGCTGGGAATAATACCGCCGATCCTATGCTGTCTCCAATCGTCGTAGGTGGTTACGCCGCAACAGTGCAACTAAAACAGGAAAAACGGCGACGTTTATTGTTTATTGCAATGATATATTATAGACATATGATTATTTACATTTGTATAAATTCCGAATATTTCAATAAAGTGCTCATGAGATCATTTTATTCGTAATAAACTTTATAAGATTTATATTATGCACCGCCAATATTGTGGGTCTGTTAGAATAAGGAATGATAATTGTTTAACTGACTGCGGGATTAAAATTTTTTTTTTAGAAAATATTTGAATTTTAGTAAATTAAAAAAACAAATTAAGATATCATTTTTAGATTTAAAAACATTAGTTTAGAAGATATCCATGTTGTATCCGTCCGTCCGTATGACTAATTGGTACTTTTTGATTGAAGCAATATTTCTGGTAGACATAGTACATACGAATTACAAATTATTGAATGAATGAAATAGGTAACGTCGTGGTGCGCCATAAATTTTTACCGATTTTCTGAAATTTTGTTCGGAATTTTCCAATTATTATAAAAATCCTTTGGAAAAAATAAAAAAATAAAAATGCTTTAACTAAATGCTATTTCCTTTCAGAAAAGGTACTCAATACCTTGGAGTAAGTTTGCTGTTCGAAAAGTTGCTTGTACACAAAAATTATTTTAAAAAAATCGACATATTTCGCATGCCAGGTTGTAGGTAAGTAGTTGGGCAGGTAGAATGTATGAGGGAAATTTTAAATTGAATTCCCCGTATTTAAATTCTTGTAAATCTATACGTAACGATTAATTATTGCTATAGGAAAACGATCTAAGTGAAGCTCGGTCAATACGAGGTGTGTTTAATAAATATCCAGACTCAAATTATTACAGATAATCATTTTAAGTTATCGACAATTTTGTTATACCAAAATAAACTAGAGATAATGACCATTATTTCAGTATATAATATTTATAATTATCTCAAATCAGTTATCGATAATGCGTGTTCAAAGTGGGTCGTTTTGTATAAAATCGCGATTTTAGGATGGATAATATTACGGAGCAACGCGAGTGTATTAAATTTTGTTTCAAAATTGGTAAAATTGCCACGGAAACTTTTGAATTGATTAAATTGGCTTTTGGAGATGTTTCACTAAGCCGTTGTGTAACTTTTGACTGGTTCAAACGTTTTAATGAAGGTCAGATATCCATTGAAGATGACCATCGTCCTGGGCGTCCATCAACATCAAAATTAAATGATACCATTACTATTGTTCGAAGCAAAATTAGAAATGACCGAAGATTAACTTTTAGAGAAGTAATCAATGAAGTTGACATATCAATTGGTATTTGACATTCAATTTTATCAGATGAATTGGGTATGAAAAGAGTGTCCGTAAAATTAGTACCAAAATTGTTAACCGAAGAGCAAATGGAACATCGCATTGAAGTGTGTTTGGAACTAAAAAATGTGGTTTCTAATGATCCAAGTTTTGTAAAATCAATTTTTACGGGTGATGAAACATAGGTGTATAGATATAAACCTGAAACCAAAGTTCAATCATCGCAATGGAAGACCGCAAATTCACGTCGTCCAAAAAAATGTCGTCCGGTTAAACATCAAAGCAATGCTCATTATTTTTTAAAATTTTTTTGGTTTAATCCATTATGAGTTTGTACCTACAGGTCAAACAGTAAATCAAGTATTCTATAAACAAGTACCTGAACGATTAAGAGAGAAAGTACGCCGTAAAAGACCAGAAGCATAGAAATCAAAGTCGTGGTTTTTGCACCATGACAATGCACCAGCGCATTCAGCACGTAACATACGTGATTTTTTGGCATCTAAAAATATGCGATACCTCACCTACCATATTTACCTGACTTAACTCCCTGTGGATTTTTTTTTTATTTCCGAGACTAAAAAGTATCCTCAGAGGCCACAGATTTGAAGACGTTAACAAAACTATTCATGACGCGACACAAGAGCTGAAGACTATAACTATGGAGTGGCAAGACCATTGAGAGCATCGTATTGAAGATAAATGACACTATTTTAAAGGTGATCCATTTAAATAGTTTGTAAGTTTTAAATATAATTTTTAATACATTTTGTCTAGGTATTTATTGAACTCACCTCATAGTATTGTTTTTTCAACAATGTGCGTTTTCACGAAAATAACGATTATTTAATAACAGAATCTAAAAGTACAATCACACAAAATACACACAATATATTAAAACCAATAGGTCCCTTAACTATTACGCCCAAAATCTAAAATGAGTACCAAAATATAAGTAGAAATTAAAGAATTTCAAACATTTTCCTCTTTACATTAAATTAAGATTTTTATTTTATTTAGATTTCTATAATAATAATATTATACTAGAACACCAAATTCATTCGGAATTGCATATTCAATTTTTTTGGGGCTAATATTTATTCTGATCTCGTCTTACCCCTTCCTGAAGATCGTCCCACGCTCTAGTTATGGACCGGTCATCACCATAGAACCGAATGGTCCTAAGCATCTCTTGTTGCATGGTCGTCTGCACCCTCTGCCGAAATACGTAACACAGAATGCCTCCAACAAGCATCACGATAAATATTATGAATAACATAATAAAATACTGCGAAAATTAATAACAATAACTCATATAATTAAATTTTATTTGTAAATATTAATTATACAACACATATTTATAATAATAAATAATAAGAGATAATAATCTATAGTTAAAAATAAATTTTATATTCGTGAAAACATTTAATTAAGTAAATAAAATAATAATAGAATTGAATTTAAGTTTCGAAAATTCGATATTTAAAATACACGTTACTGAAAGTTTGAATAAATTATTACACCATTATTACACCATTATGTAAATTATCGATTTTTTTTACGAAAACAAAATTTTGTTAAAGCAAACGATAAAATATATTGAATATTTAAATTTACGCTTCGGTAGTTTTTTCGTGAGTTTACAGAAACTATTAAAAATCACACATGCAAATACCAATTTCTTTATTGTGTCTACAATTCAGGTTCAATAGGTATGTCATATGAAATTATTAGACAATTTTCAGCACAAACAAATAAAAGTGTGTGAAAACCTAAAGAAAAAATAACGTCGAGGCGATTATGCATTTTATTATATTAGCAATTGATTTCATTTATTTTTCTCAAAATCTAAAATTTTGGCTGTTCTATAGATCGTATAGAACTTAGTAGGACCTATAATGTCTTTTTCAGGAAAATCGTAAATGTCGATTTTGTTACAATCATGTATAATATACATACATATAATAAATAATATTGTACAAGTCCTGATAGTCGGAAAAACTATATTATATGGATTGCAGATTAGCCTTACCGTGAGCAGCATGCATTTAACTTCCTTGACGGCACCTGCACATCCTAAAAACGACAGGAACGACAGCAGGACGCCTGTCACGATCAGTATATACACAGCGCCGGTGAACAGGTTAGTGCCTAGCAACTCTTTAATGAACGATTTATCGTACAGGGTATACACTGATATGGCCACCAACACTATACCTCCGATCTGCAAACGAAACATGTTTCCTACAAGTTCCCCAATGCAAAATATTTACACCGTGGCAGTTTAACGCCGGAAGGGCTTAAGAACGAGCTCTATCATTCAGCTTTGTATATATAAAGACTGAATGTAATATATGTATATAATATAAACGATAAGGAAATTAATTATTTTACCAAAATTTGATAAGGTCTTTTATATCGGACTATCATGAGAAAAAATGAAATCACCGCCCTTTGACATGATACAATCATATAATACAATAGTTATATATCGGCACACGAGAAACCCGTTGTTTGATCGAAAAAAAAATAATAATAGTTGAGAAGATTTAAAAATGTTTTCAAAATTATCATAATAATGTTCTGATTTAACAAGTATATTTTTATGTAAATACGGATTGTGAATTGATCGCGAAAACGTGAGTTAATATTGAATTAAAAATAGTTAAATTTTGAGTTATCTCAGCCTCGCGGAAAAAAAAAATGTTGATCCCAGGTATTCTTTTAGTCGGTTATAAAACAGTATAATATTATAATATTGCCGTAACGTAATTACGCTGTGTACTTATAGGTATACGTACTTATATAAATATTGTAATAAATCCGTTGAGAAATATAATATTGGAAAAAAAAAATCACGTGACTTACGAATATGATGAAATTGGACAAAAACATGCTGTACTTGACGATGGTTCCACACCACTCGTCTTTGGAACCGAACCCCATTTTGGATTCCTGTAAAACATAAAATACTTAAGATTATAAAACTGGTAGTCGATATTTTAACAAAATTGTTTCTTGCAGTTTCCAGTCATAAACTATTTAATTTAACTGCATATTATGTACGCGCAAAATGTCGTGGCGGTGATATTATATTTATAAATATAATAGAAAGTGCAAGGACATTACGATCATTGTAAACTCGTTTGGCGTACACAATAATTGCGCGAGACAATAACCCACATAATATAGGTAATAATGATATTAAATTTTGTATTAAGATCCAATACCTGATGACTATCGTACAGCTATTTAAAAATGCATTGTGATTTTCTACCATGGTCCATCGATTATCCATACGGAGATTTTAAGTAAAATTGATTATTTTCGTTTTTTTCTGACATTATTACAGAATAGTTTATTATTTTATTTATTAATCGATTATATTGATTAATATCGATCTTATTTACGATATTTTCAAAATGTTACTCTTACTTCGTACACTATAAAAACGAAGTACATCTAAAATTTGACTTTTAAAATAGCAATTCCCCACTATTTTAAAATTAGATTGAGAAACAAAATATTTTTCTAAAAATTGTAAAAGTTCTTAAACATAGATTCTGATTATATCGATTTCCGATATTAATGTTGTACAAAAATAACAATATTTTGAACAAAAATATTCTGTTTTCGAATTTGTGTCGAAAAATGAAGGTTGTCATTTTAAAATAAAATAATTAATACTTATTTTACGTCAACCCACGTAAAGTACCAAATCTATATGTAGATTTTTTTAAAATTATTATTATGTTTGGCAACAAATTTTAATCTGTGTTAAACAGAAATAAGATTTGCATAGTGACTATTATACTGTTGAGTGATATTGTCTGAAAATTAAAAATTCACTTTAAACATTATTGGAAGCTTGCAATAGATCTGCAGCAATAGTTTGTACTTTAATATAAACAGTATACCCGATCATCTCGCACCACTGAGATTTAAAGAGGGCCAGAACACTTGTGATACTTTCGACAGATTTAAGTAAAAAATATACTGTAACGATGTTGATACGGATAAAGAGAGTAATTTGTGGGTTCCAAGGCTTCGGTTTGACGGCGGTTGATTCCAACGATACTATAGTCAAAATACGATTTTCGGCCGTATAGCTCAGGGACACGCCGATGCGCCGCGCCGTAAGAAAGCGGCCAGCTACAAGTCAGTGCTGGTTCGTGTCAAAAAAACGTCGACTGCGATGACTACGGCCGTCTTCCGCGTTACACGGATTAACGAGAGTGAGAGAAAGAGCGAAAAAGACCATTTCATGGTCCCGCTCGAGGTCTTTGTAGATTAGTCAGGTAAACAATTAATATTATCACCATTTTAAATTTGTCATCGTAACTGCGCAAGTGTATTGTATTACTAACTATATAATAATATTATATACGTCATATTAGAAATGACGTGTAATTTCAGCATGAACTCCGTGTAAATTCAACAAATAAATATAATGAAACATTTACCATTGTACGAAATATTTTTTTATAGTACAAGACATAGGACTGAAAAACCCGCAATTTTATATTATTTTATCGATAATAGTGAAACACGAGACGTGAGCTGATATACAATAAACACTGTACTCGAGGTATTGGAACTATATTCGATGTGTTCAATCGTGCGAAATTTTAAATTAAAAATACCGAGACAAAGTGTGACATAATAATATTTTTTAACTATTATATAGTATATATATATATATATAGGTACTTCGCTCTTTAGATTTTGAGTAGGTCAATTGGATAGTATACTAAATAATATTTACCTATTTTCGTAATTATTAAATTTGTTACGTGAACATTTAAACAATTTCCTTTGTAAAACACAAACTGTATTAATTTCTAAGTAATGAAAGATCGGAGCACTCTTAAGTCTACTAAAAAATTTAGACACAAACATAATTATTATTTATAAAACAAATATGTAGTTTTGTAGGCCCGTTCAAGTAATACATATTCAAAATTTTAAACAATTATAATAATTGATAATCATAAACTTACGTAAAATATTCCCATTTATCATATTATAGATTAGAGACACATTCTATCACCAACAGCAAACATACGGGTAAAACATAAACGAAAACTAAACAAAAATATTGAAATAACCATTTTGAGCTAGATGGTAGTTTTAAAGTAATTGTTATTTCATTAAAACGTTATCTTATACATAACTACTTTATAAATAGAATCTAATTATGTGCCCGCGAGAAAAATTAAATTTGCACATTCTCTTGTCGAAAATGCGCCCATGGAAACATGCACATTCTCGAATCCTTGTATTCAAAAATTCCCCGTTCTTTTATTAGGTACTTATGGCCTTTTCATGGTCATGTTCATTTTTGTATAGCGTAGTTGTTAGGGTACGCAAACGTTATAATATTGTACGCTTACATGACCAAAGATCAAGGAAAATGTTATAAAAAATAATGTATTGTTAAATTTAACGCCATTTAAATTGAAACTAAATTATTATTGTGACATTATGCAGGTTTAAAAAACTGACTGCAGGGAGACTTAAAATGTGAAATTTTTTTTTATTATACGATAACTCTGTTCTACTGCATTTGAATATAACCCAGATGGGGGAGGGGGTATGGGGGTTAGCTGATCCACAGTTTTTATCATTATTATGAGGCCCCCAATTTTGATATGAATACAATTTTATTTGAATAAATATGTATAATAATAATAATAATAATTTTAAAATTATACACGGGCCTCTCTAAAATCTTTATAATAATCCTAAAGCACGGAACTCAGTCTAATACACAGCTTACACCACCTTTAAGCCGACCCTGTTTAACTAACTAATAATAAAATCTCGAATGGTTTTTATTAAAAATATAGTTGTAGAAATAAATTTTGCGATTTTTGTTTTCTTCATCTTAATACGCACATTTTATGATATATTATCATTTAACGTATAAACACTGAATAGTGTATCTAATCAAATAAAAAAGCGAAGATATATATTTTTTTATTTTATTTATACTAATTTTTTTTAAAGTAAATTATAAAAACAGCTGATACTGGGAACGGGTATGTTGCAGAAAATAAAAATATTGGATTTCTTATTTTAAGGCTAAAAATGTAGGAATGACGACTTTCTTACAAAAAACATTGTATGGTAAATGCTAGTTATAAGTTTCAGCATAAATTGATATCGTATATCAGCCGATATTGGATGTATCTGATTATCGGATATCGGGTTTTTTTCAAAACCGATATTGGATTCGATATTTTCGTAAACAGTTTTACATTAATAATGTAAAACGAAGAATGTTTAATAATATATTGTTTAAAAAATTAAGATGAACTATATTGGCAAATATCGGTTAATCTCATTATCGGTTCACAGTTTTTGATTTCAAATTTTTGGATCGGTTATCGGTTTTATATTGGAATCAAATATTTGAATATCGTGGGTATCGGAAAAAAGTCATATCGGCTCACCACTAGTAAATACCCTCTATGAGACTAAAACCACCAAAAAGTAATTTTAGACAACTTTGAACTTGCTTCCGTTTCGCAGAAACTGATTAATTTGACTTTTTTAGACGTAGTGAAATTTTCAAAAAATGTTGGCGATTTCCGAGCTATTTTAAGGCATTTTATGTATACGTGTTTTTACGTAGTTTTTATTTGGTAGGTGTAATGTGGATATAATAGTTTGACTAAACAGAAATGTATGGAAATTCAACAACAGATTCATTGTTCAAGGTTCAAGTTGTACAGAGTTCTTAAAAAAAAATAGTTGATACTGGGGACGGATACATGTTACTTTTGTTGTAGGTGTAAAGTTAGGTAGTTAGGATACATAGATATTTAATTTATATCTGGAAGGAACGATAAGTCATTGTTAATAAAAAGTGATTTGGCATGAAGTTCGGTTATGTTTCAAAAGGCCGTAATATTTACGATTTTCGTCAAAATTTCATTTTAAAACTACGTGCGTGAAGTTGCCCTCCACTTTGGCCGATCGCTTCCGGACTAATGCGTTTGTTCATCCATTATAAATTCTCAAAAAACTTAAAAATCAAAAGCAAAGCCGGAATAATAAAAAATGACTTCGTTTAAGTACCGAGTAGATAAAATATTCTTTCAGAAAAGATGCTACACTAGATACATCGGAAAAAAATGTCTAATTGAAAAGTTACTCATGGGCACATAAAAAAATATATAGAAAAACATGCAATTGCTACGCTCTGAATCTAAATCAACACAAATATAATAGTTAAGCACCATAAATATAAGGTGTAAAGTCAATAAGTAATATTGTTATTTTTCATTTTTATTTCAGATTAGACAATACGTATCTTATATTAATTTTTTATTAAAACATACAAAATAAAGAATGAAAACAACGCAAGCACAAACATGAGACACAAATATTAATTTTTTCTAATGATAATAATAATTAAGTTGCATTTACTGATTTAATTATAACTGACGAGTGAGACAGTTTAGTTAATATTGGTTATTCGCTAATTGAATAGCAATTTTTAAAAATTCTTAATATCAATTGTTCTTTTGAAAGTTTGTAAAATGTATTATTGTTTTATATGCAAATTAGTTCTTGATATGAAATAAATTATGTAAATCGCAAGTGAAGCGATCAGCTTTAAATTTAATAATTGATTTCCTACACAGGTGGCCACTCGTGAATTGAGTTCACCATAGAACTAAAATACTAGGTATAAATATCTGCGTACCGATTAGATATAGTTATACTATAATCAATAAGACAGAGTAAATGTAATCTATCCTGACAAATCTTGGGAGATAATTTATTTTTATTCTCATATAATAAATTTAAATATCACTATCGCTATTAAAATTTCATTGGTCTCCTCATGAATGTATGAAAATAAATATATTTTTACTGGTAAGGTCACATCACATATTTTATTTTGAATAAAAATAAAAATGAAAATTATTATAGCGATAAATCTAATTAGAATCTTAACTCATCTATTCGCTTATGATTTTATCCCTACATTTAAAACTCCTTATTTAAACTATATATTTACTATAGTAAATAAAAGTCTGTTATTGGGTATACCTAATAGATAATTTTAGATCCAGTGAGTAGCGAATATATTGGTTATACAATGATGGTTGTATTTTTATCCGTGATAAACCACTTTTCTATCAATAACCTTGCTCAATTTTCAAGTCCAGTACCTTTTCTGAAACGAAATTTTATCTGAGTGATACTTCAAAAGGTCATTTTTTGATTTTTCAAACGGTATTCATAAAAATTTGAAAAAACGGGAAGATGTACGTGTGATGTATATAATAAACTACGCTCTGAATCGTTTGTTCGTTAGCAATGGTTTATTGTTGCGTACAGACATAAAATAAATTCCCCTCTATAGACCTTACCTTTCCAAATTTTCAACTATAACAATAGCACACTTATCGTACAAAGTATATTCGTCTTTATATTTTTATTTTTATTGGAATTTGCCAAAATTAATGTCACTTTAGTCACGAAACGTATATTGCACGAATGATTTAAATTATTTCTGCGTGTATAAAAACGTAATTTTTATATTAATTATATTACAAAAAAATAAAATAAAATATGTAAATATTATACGGTACTAGTAATAATCTAACTAAAAAAGAAAATCTGATATGGATCTTTTAATAATATATAAATTTGAATGCTTTCATATATACACATACTTATACGTAAATAAAAAAAAAACTTTAAAAATATTAAACGTGAACTCAAATGTTCCAAAAAAAAATTTAATAAAACATATTTTAAGCTAACATTTAAAGTAATTTGCCAAATTGTTTTTGATGATTAGCATTAAAAAATTAATTTTAAATTCGGGGCGTAGCGAGAGATCTATGATGGATGTTTTTTTTCTTTCTGTAAATAACTTTTCTACCAGAAATTTTGCTCCGAGTATCAAATATATATTTTCTGAAAGAAAGGTAAGGTGATTTTTTGATTTTCTTTTTTTAGTTTTCATAATAACTGGGAAATTTAAAAAAAGAAGAAATATACGATTTTTTTTCTTCAAATAATTATGATGTATAATAATTTCATTATTTGAAATTTGTACACTTTATGTTTTCTACCAGAAATATGGCTTCAATAGAAAAACAACAAGTCATTTTTAATTGAATTTTTAATCTAGTTCAAGACCAAGAAAATTGTTCTTTGATTTTCTTTGTTGTTTATTTTTAATAATTAAGTAAAACCAAAAATACGTAACCCCATTTTAAAAAAAAAAAAATAAATGTATATCTAACATGATTTTTTTAAAAATAATTTTCGAAAAATCTCGCAGGGGAATACAATAATAATTTATTGAGATTTAAACATAATTTAAATATAAAATACAGTATTATTGTATTTTTTTTATTGACTTTGAATATTTGTATTTACGTAATTTATATAATAGCAGTATTTTTCATCGGCCCATTGTCGTTAATACAAGTAGCGGCCCATCGGGAAATTCTCGGTGTCCTGGCGTGCTTATACGGCTATACGCTCCTGGTATCGTAGAACCTCGATTATCCCCAAACGTTATCGCGGCTGGTAAACCGATTTATCCATCCCTGAATTATAGTGTTCCACGAGGAATCATCTAAGGACCATTACTATTCTTTATATGTATAAATGACTTACTCAGTTTAAATTTCGAGTGCTCGATTTTTCGTATTGTCGGCGATTTTAGTTAACGGTGTAAGTTAATTTAATGTATTAAACAACATAAATTATGTCTGATATACAAAAATTGGTTTAATGATAATTCTTCGGAAATAAATTTTAATAAAACATGTTATACACATTTTTTCTTATCAAAAGTTAGAAATCTTATTATTCTAGAACCCATAAAAATTACACAATATTAAATGTCAAAGGACAAATTATACGGGTACTTGCTTATATTAGGTATCTGATATTATAATAGATTAATACTTAAAATGGGATCGTTATATACGTCATATAAACATTAAAAAACTAAGGAGTATGTTCAATATGTGTTTAAAACACATTAATATTTTATCACCAAGTAAGTTCAATAAAAATGGTTTTTTTTGTTATTGTGCAATCAATATATACTTATGAAATTTATGTTTAAATAAATATTTGAGACTACCTAAATCTACAATAAATTCTTTACAATCAATAGCAGTCAGGAAATTCTTTAATTCTAGTACCGACTTACTATGTACTAATTTTCTTCTTAATAGATATCCTACTAAAAAGTAGATTGAAAAAAAAAATTTTAAAAATTGAATATTAACAGTTCTAGTTCTGAATATTAACACGGTTAGATCCTGTATATTATAATGTGTAGACAACATTTTATTTACTTCAATTTTTCTTACTTGAATTTTCATTTAAAATTAATAATAATTAATTATTTAATTATTTATGTAAATATAAAATAACTAATATTTATTTGTTAATTATGTTTTAAATTTAATTCAATTCAATTTAAATTTAATTAATTTAGTCAATTAAATTTAAAAACTGTGTAACAAATATTAAATTATAATAAGAAGCGGCGTTTTTGTTGTTTAATGTTTTAAATTCCTTGATAACCCAATAAGTGTTAAGTGAATTTGTTTTTTTTTATTCAACAAATAACAACATTAAAGAATCCAATATCAACTCATTATGGTTCGAGATATACTTTAAACAAAAGATAGTTTTGAGAAAAAACGCTTAGAACTACAACTAACTTGTAACAGGTATTTTTACAGTTAACAGTATAATTTTCAGAAAAGTTATAAAAAATAGAGACCCTTGTACAATTTTGTAATGGATTTGACCATTCATAAATTGTTTGAACTTTTTTTTAAAGATTTTTTTTAATCATTTTATTTCTGGGCACAAAAATTATGTTTATAAATAAAAACTGTTATTTTGAATTTAAAATGCATACGAAATATTTTCGCGTGTCTTCAATGTATCATATTTCCAATTCTAATCAACTATGAATCACTCTCCATAATGTTATGCGATACTGACTACGGACTAAATAAACATTCGAAAAACATAATTATTGTAATATTATTTTTATAATCGGACAAAAACTGTTATATCACATTACCAATTATATTTGTGTATGAAATTCATATAATAATAAATTATTAAAAAGCCAACAAATTTTAAGTAGTGACTGAAATATCTGGTGCATCATAAACTGTATCTATAAAAACATCTATGGTTGATTAGGTTAGATTAGGCCAAAATAAAAATGACCCATTGATATAGGTATTATGGTTTTACGACCTTAAAAAAAAAAATTAAGTCCGATTGGGAAATTGAATTTTTAAAAACAAATTAAATGTTTTAACAAATTTCTATTTGTCACTATTAGGTTCTATTAGGTCACTAGAATAGTGACCTAAAGTATAGAATACTATTAAATCAACAAAACTCATTATTTTTTATTCGAAAAAAGTTAATATATTATAGGTATATCTTCGTGGTAAACTCTGTATAAATGTAGAACGCATGTTAACTAAATATAATATACAATAAGTATCCTCTATACAATAATTATTATAAATGATAATAATTGTATATTTTATCGTTTATCAGTATCGCAGACAGAAATAATGTTGGAGGAGGGGGGGGTTGTTATCCAAATGATTCGTCAAAAGAATAAAAAAATAATAGTTCGGTTTATACGAAAATCAAAAACTAACCAGTTTTTTACTATAGCTAATATATTGAGTGTTAATATAGTTCATATGTATGAGTACATACATAAATTTCACATATTTTCTTACTTGAACAATTGTAACGAGAATATCGAGTGAAAAAATACTTCACAATGAAAATAAAAACAAACCAGTTTTTAATCATATTGAACGGCCGGTTCGGTGTAGTAATCGAATTCTTACCTAAAGTAATAAATCTTAACTAGTGTATGTACCTATTAAGCGCATGTGGGTATTATAAATCATAATAAATATCCGTCATAATACATTTTTTTATCATAAACCATCGATTTTATATCTACGAAGATATTTATAGCTTTTAAAATTTAGGTCTGAGGAATAGGGAATGAGAGTTATCGAAACATAGATATAAAATATATACCCATTTATAATACTCCATGAAATTTAAAAATATTATTTAGGCACAACTCATTAACGGTATGTTGGTATATACTACAACAACTGTAAACCAACTCAAAATCAAATTCATTGAATATAAGATATAGACATACAGTTATAAGACATATCAGTATAATCACTGGTTCAATACAAAATAATTAAACAGTGGTTTAACTATCTATTCAATGGTAATATGGTATGCACAGAGTTATGGTTTATAAACCATTCTCTTATTAGCTTAAAAACACAACAAATATAAGAATTTATTAAGTTATTTTATCTTAAAATTAAATATTTTAACCAAGTTACGAGGAAAAAACCTTGATTAATTATATAAAAAAAAAAATGGACATATTTCATATGTGATACACCTACAGTTGTAGGTGGGAAGTTGGGAAGGTACGATAGAGACGATAATTTAATGTAAATCTATAACTTGTAAGCAACAATACACCATTGTTAATGAAAAAACGATTCTGAGCGGAGTTCAGTTGATAGTGTTGCTTTTTCAACAATATATGTATATCATATTATTGTGAAATGATTACAACAATAATGTGCGTTTTCATGACAACAATTATCAACCTTATTTTTAATCTGTCAATCTTTTTTAACTTAAAGAACCGGCTTTTTCTCATTATATTAAATATCAATGAGAATTTCAAAAAATGACATCATCAAAGTACCACCCAGAGAACATTTCCTTTCAGAAAAAGTGCTATACTTGATAACCGGAGTAAGCTTTCTGGTTGAAAAAGTGTTTACATAAAAAAAAATAAACATCATTGGAAAACTCGCTTTACTTAGAATTTAAAATTGACTCTTTTTGGATCTAGCTTGGAACCTAACTGTCAATAAAAATCCTATTCCTCGGCGTGACACTGACTACATCGTGGATATTAAATTTAAATAAAAATCATCTAGTTGACGATTGGGTTTTGTATTCCACGATGAGGAATCTAAACATTATATTGTTGACGTATAACACAGTTGTTTAGCAATGAATATTATGTTTTGATTACGTTACAAATCATGTAGGTTTATTTTTTATCGACTCCGGATCTCTATAATACCTATTTCAAATCATCTATTTCATAAAACCTATTTCAGCATGCAAAGTAGTAACGGCGGCGGTGGCAGAATAATAAAATATGTAACACAGCCATTTTTCAATGACGACGAGGTGAACAGCTGTGTGTTTACCAATATCATATACTTACATCGGATGAGATTCCGTGCACCGCGTGTGCAGGTCTTTCTCCTGACACTATACTGCAGTACATTATATTATAATATCGTAATAAAATGATTTGTAATAGTATGTCGTCCGAAAGGAATCCGAAGGTTTCTATATTATATTAAACAGATATGAGATAGGACCTACCTATATAATAATATAACACGACGACGACTATAATAGTCACGTTCGTCATTTGAAAACTTTTAATCACTCGTCGCACATCAGTGAATTCAAATTCCATCGAATGGTAACTTACCCGGCTCCCCTTTCTCCTAATTCGTTATAATAAACTTATTATATATGTAAAATATACCTACGATTAAACATTTCCAGATATTGTATAATGATCTTGCAGGGTCTCGATTGAAAATGTACATCATTAAGTAGGTATGCCAGATATATCGGACCCCAACGTTCAAAAAAAATATTTTAGTAGATAGGTACCTACAATTATTATTTTTTAATAAAAATCATTGATAGTTATTATATTATACATAATACTTTGAAAATTGATATTTTTAATGTAAAATAACATTAAATGTATATAATTTTGTCGTTAAAGACATTCGTTTTACGGACATAAATATTTGAATATTGTCGGATAATATTATTTTTATTCGTTCAATTAAGGACTAAAGTCACATTCCGTATTTCAGTTACGTAACTAACGAATTATCTAACAAACAAAAAAAAGAATTTGGAGTCCAAGTAATTAAAAGTGATTTGATCATGTTTTTTTTTAAATTTTACGATATGTACAACTTTAAAAATACATTTAAAGAAGAGAGAAGGCAACCTCACTTGAACTGTAAAAATTGTTTAGAGAAGGTATGAATTTGTTGTTAACTTAAGGGTTTCCAAGTGTTTAGTTGCGCTATTGGTTACATTATTATTACGTGCACATACGTAAAAAAGAAACCGAACAGATAGGTACGAATACCAAGCTAGGTACGTTTAAATTTAAAATCGAGTGAAATAATATATTTTTTTAAAAGTATGTGGTAAGTGAAGACATTTTGGAAACCACTGATTCTAAACGTACAATATAAACTCAACACCCGGTGTAACAGGTCAGGGTATGGTGATCATTTACTATGATTGCGTTGTGGTCATCAAAACATAATAAATCCCATCGGCGTTTTAACAATGAAACTGTCGGCAATGTCTATACAGCGTCAAAATATTATAATTGCAATTTTTACTTCTGAGATTATCGTTTTATAATATTTTCACGCGATTGTTACATAAGTACTTACTATATTATTATACACGAGTAAATTATTATACCGCAGTATGTCGTGTATAAAATATATGAGTATACATACGAACAGCTTTATCGATAATAATATTATTACTATCAAAGAGTAACTATAATATTGTATTCTCGGGGTGCCATACTATAATTTTCGGTTTTGTTGTTTTCTTTTTATTTAACCATAGATTGTCCAATTTATTTGTTTTGCTGTTGTATAACGTTATTACTTATTATTATATTACTGCGTTATTTTACCATTTCCGACTAGTAACGTTGACCTATTCGATGACTTCATTTTTTAGCGATTTTCTCAGAGGATTTTATTTAAATTTGATTTAAGTTTTATTTTCACTCATTATGGAACCGTTTAAATCTTATTTTAACATTATTTTAAAATGTTTACCCCTCTTCTCCTTACACTGAGTATTGAATTACGATTTTCTAATGATAACCTACCTCATAGATTCGAAATATGACTGTTTTTCTTAAAAACTTTGATATGCACAACACTAATAAAGAATATATAGTTATAACAGTTTACAATTTAGACCGAAGTATTATAACTCATAAATGGTAAACAAAATATAAGACGTGTTTATGTATATCCAATTTGTTTTTGAATATTCTCTTTTAGACTCTAGTTTGAGAATGGGGTTTTCAATTGAAAATAAAAAGTTTATAAATGATTATGATAACCTACGAAATAAGGATAAAAGTTTGAAAATATTGTAAATAAGAATATTAAAATATTAGGAAGGTATCGATAATCAATTAAAAAATTTAAATTATTTTACCTACTCAAAAACGTCGTATAGATAATTACCGGATCGTAATAGTTAATAAAATAATAATCCTGCATATGCACTTGTATCTATGTTTATACAATAAAAATTTAGATGTACCTTAAAGTAAACAAATTATTACACTCAAAATCGATAACCATAGATTACAACGTACCTTTGCCAATATTATAATTTATACGTGTAATCTGGTCATGTCAATTTGACCCAAATACGTTATACATACGAAATACGAATTATATTATGAAATATGTTCACTTTGTAGAAAAACGTTTCTGAAGCGATCGTTAAATAATTTTCTTGTTTGCAATACGTTATACCGTATGTATGTACAGAATAATTATAGCTTTCTTTTATACATATGTAGGTATGTTTGTATCTATAGGTTAGGTTCAATATTACATTTTAATACATTTGCATAACAAGTACAAATTGTTTGTTTACGATTTAAACGAGTGTGCCTTCAAGTTTACGTTGTAAGCATATACAACGACGTGAATAACTATATAGTATTAGCATATTTTTTTATTTTCAAGGATATTTATAAACAGGGGAAAAATTTCTGTACCTCCTATTGGTCACTGATACGTATACTGCTTTTGATCAATCGTAGATAGACACTATCACGGTCATCATGGTTACACGACACTAAATTATGGAAGTGGAACAACATTATCTCAAGTGAAATTGAAATTTCAATGCTCGTTCGCATTTCTCTCGCAATTATTTCATAACATAAAACTAAATTACCGACTTCAGCATTTAATTATCTAGGTACACGTAAAATGGTTGCACAGGATGAAATATTATGTATACATCATATGAATAAGTCTCCGTAAAATGTTAAAAACAATATTTTGTACGAACAATAATATTAATATTGTTTAGATTTTGAGCGCAGTAAAGTTGTTTTTGGAAAGATATATTTTTTACTTTTTTCGTAATACACTTTTTAGGTTAGTAGAAATGCTTCGATTTTTTCATGTGTTTAGAAGTTTGTCAAGATTTCTGAAAGTTTTTCTTGAGAGGACGCCATCTATCCACATCTACTATCTCAGTCTAATTAACGAATAACAGAGCAAAATTAAACAAAAATAGCAAATGTAAAGAGTTTTAGCCATTTTAGTTTATGTTTTTTAAATAGCTACACAACTTTTTTGGATGAAAAAAAACTGACGACAAACGACGATACATTGGTTTTATTTATGGTGATTTCTGGATTATTTTGGCTACAAGAAAAAATACACGACTAATAATTTTACATCATTAGTTTACTGAGTTTTCATCATTGATTACAGTGTATAAACAAAATTAACATATATCCTTATCAACTTGGAAACTTCCCATCTATCAGGCCATCTAACAGTGGCCTACCCGACTATCTATGGTGGAAAGTATGTGCGGATTTTTAATCTTTCAAATTTTGTTTTCAAATATCCAACGAAAACTACAAATCGTGAAACCTAGACCTCATACAATAATATTTCAGTCATGTATTAAAAACTAATGTTCTTCCCCCCCCCCCCCGAAAGGGACATTTCAAATGTAAGTCAGGTTTAGTTTGTCTTTGGAATCTATACTACTTACGACTGTACGTACGGATGATTGGTACTGAATAGTGAATAACGTACGGCCATATGACTTACCGCATGAACGCTGGCGTTCGAAATCATATGTTGTAATAATGCGGCGCACCTATAATCATAAGCTGACGTATTTTTGTTTTAAAAATGAAGAGAGTAGCACGTGAAACATCAGTCGCATTAGCATGAACATAATAATACGTGGGAAGGGGGTTGTAATATAATCACTACAACGAAATCGTCGACAACACGTGTACGGTAACACAAACATTGCCAATGTGCATTGTGCAATTTGCATCACATAGTACATACCTATTATAATAATCATTTTTTTTTCAATTATTGGTTAAATAATTGATATTTTTAGAAAATGTACGAAAATAATGCTTTTATTATTTTTTATTACATATTTATTATTTATTGTAATTTAGCTAAAAATATTAGTAAAAACATGAAATTTAGACAGAAAACTTATATTTGCATTTTCTAGACGCGGTAAAATTTTCAAAAAAATTGAAGCCATTTTTGAGCTGGTATTTTAATTTTGCGAGTTTTGTACATAATTTTTATTTGGCAGGCACTTTGTGGTAAAATTAACTATTTTACTTGAACAGAAATGCTTGAAAATTTAACAGGAGGTTGATTAGATATGTAAATGTATAGTAAAAAAAAGTATGAAAATTGTTTGAATAAAAAATTATGTGAAATAAATCTAATTTATCCAAAAATTTAACAAAAAAAATCTCTTGATATTATTTAATTGGAGCAATATTTATGGTGGAAAACATAAGCTGTAAATATTTAAAACAATGAAATCCTAACGCCATAAATTTGTCAAATTTAATTTTACGTTTTTTTTCTTATTTTAATAAAACTTTTGAGAAAATCAAAAAACGAATATCTTACTCAAGAACTAGATAAAAATTCAACAAAAAAGATCTCATATCGTTTATCTGTTGGAGAAATATTTATGGTAGAAAACATAAGCCATACAAATTTAAAATAAAGAAATCGTTGTGCTGTAATTTGAAAAAAAATTAATTGTACATCTAATATCATAATAATAATATCTATATATATATTATTATTCTTTTTATTTTACATTTTTTCTTTGCTCAGAATCATTTATTGTATCGCTGTTTACAGGTATAAATTAAATAATTTTATGTGTTTCACCTTCCCAACTACCCACCTACAACAGTGATCGCACCCGTCCCCAGTGTCAGTTCTTATTTGTAAATGTAGGTACCTTCTTTTATGTTTATCTAGTAATATACCTAGGATATTAGTGGGGGGCGTGAGGGGCTAAAAAAGTAAATACAAATTATTTAAAATAATATATTTACGTATAATATACATTAGCCTTTTTCTTAAGGCAGTGTTAGTTGCAAATTTACAAGGTTGGTACCGAATTTCGTCCCGAATTTCTTGGCAGCGCTAAACCGAATGTCTTAATTCCGTCCCATGGGTCAACCAGCTACGTTTGAATTTCACCCTTGTTGTAACTAGTATTATAACAACTATAGTAAGAACAGACAGAACGCGATTTTTGAGTGCGGTGCGACGAGACTCGGATACATTTTTTTAAATATGATAGAATGTCTACGACTTTTTATATTATACTACAGTTATAATAATAGAAATAATATAAACTCACAAAATTAGTTTTTGTAAATAATTATTGTTATTTCGTTTACGGATTTTACGTCTAAGACGTTACAAATAACTAAAAAACAAATAACTTGTGAAGAAAAAATAACCATTTTTAAACATGCCAACAGAGCTGCCAATTCTAAACATGAAGGGAAATGTTACTAGTTAATATAGATACTAAAAAAAAACTGAGAGATGGATTTCAGACGTATTCCAACCCCGGGAATGAATTCGAACTATTTTACCAGCTCAGGACGGGATTCGGTAACTGCCATTTAACTGAGGATCTGGAGATCCCTAGTAACAAAGAAGCACACAACTTCTATAATATTGATGAACTTGACTTAGATAGCATTCATCGTCTAAATTGTTATCACTTCTCTCCCTTAAAACAAGTTGTATTCAGTTGAGTTAGTAGAAAAATGTCTAAATAGATATTTTATTTTTAATTTATATTTTAAAACAGCTAATAGGAAAAACTGAAGCACTTTTTTCTTCCCTGGGTATACGCCACTGAGTTAACCTTTAATACAATCAATATTCTCAATATATTTACTGAGCATTACATTCGAAAAATATTTAAAAAATGTGAAGCCTACATATGTTATTATATCTGTTAAATTAACGGGTGATTGTGGCGTTTAGAATGACATTTTTTGAAATTGTTAAAAAGTATTGCACGTTACGTATTGCACTCAAAAATATTCTTTTCTTTACATTTTGTTAAACGTGTTTAATTTTTTTTTTAAACAAAATATTTAAAACATAAGTCAATAAATTTCGCCACTGCACTGTAGAGAGTATATTATTATTATTATTATTATTATTATTATTATTATTATTATTACTATTATTATAGTACGAAACTATAGGTATAACACCAGTCGTCATTTACCACTTCGGTCGTTTCCGGTGAATCGCGTGGGCGCATCTATAAACAGCAGGTTTAATAATAATGACAAATGTAGCAACAGTCCTATAGCAGCGGCATTCCACCCAAAATATTGCGTTAAATATTTATTTTTTATTAAGATTAAAAAAAAGTTTAAAATACTGTTTGCAAAACAAGTGATTATTATTTTTTGAAAATGTAAATTTTTTAAATATGAAATACAATATTATTTGCAGGGCTGTGTTAAGGGGGGCATTTGTTCCGGGGTACCAGAGCTTTTAAAATTATGAAGCACCCGCTCAATATGAAATTCGAAATAAAATTAACATTAACACGATATAATCAGTGGCGAAGCCAAGAGGGGTTTTAGGTATTTAACTCCCCCCCCCCCTGTAGTTTTTTTTCAGATATTTTAAAACTCTACTGTAAAAAATATGATATTTTTTGTCATACTATTATTAGATTAATAATCTAAAACCATGCTAATAGAAAATGCGTATAAATGGATGAAGTAAATTATCCTTTATATTTATCATGAGCACGTTATCATTAGTAAATTAGTTGAACAAAACACTTCTACAACTCGTCCGGCGACCAAATTGAATATACGAGGTCTGGCTATTAAATAACGAGACTACTTATGAAAAATGGTTTTATTTTAAAAATTATTCCACAACCAAATGTTCCTCTTCAATATACTCTCCTCCCCTCTTCACACACCGTTTCATTCGTTTCTTCCATTGCTCGAGGCAGTGCTGAAAGTCTGTTTTCGTAAGACCATTCAAGAGTTCCACCGATTTTTGTTTCACCTTTTCCATCGACTCAAACCGGATTCCTTTTAAGGCACACTTTATCTTTGGAAACAAGTAAAAGTCGCAGGGTGCCAAGTCGGGTGAGTAAGACACGTGTTCGAGTACTGGAGTGCCTTAAGATCTACGACTTGTTTTTCCACAATATCGACCGTTTCTTACGAACTCATTCGTGCAATTTGCCAAAACTGTCAAATAGTAATGTTGGTTCATCCTCTGGAGGGTTAGGTTAGGTTAGGTTTAACCAGCGCTGTATTCGATTTTCCCCAACCTTTTTGGGATATTCTTTGCGCGCGCAGTCTCGTTATTTAATAGCCAAACCTCGTAGATTATTATTATTATATTATAATTATTATTATCATTTATCATGATATTTTAACAAACCGTGGATTGTGGTTTACACCACAATTTGTGATTGTGGTTTATGACTATTCTAAGAAGTAATGACTGATTACTATATTAATCACAATATTTGATACATTCGTGTGCTTATATTCATAAATGTAACTGTTTTCTGGGAAATAATAATATAGCTGGCAAATGTTTTGAATCAATTAGCAGTGAAACAATAAAAATACGTCTGTTGTAAATTAACAGTAAAATATTTTAAGACTTTCATATTGTAGTATATGCATACCTATCAATTGATTAATTTTTTTTTTGTATTTACACCACTAAACTTAATTCTTGAATGTCTTAATGAGAGTATACTTAAGCATTGAGCAAAACACATAAAAAAAAAAAAGCTGTCCTAAGATAATGGGAATGGGTGCAGCCAAGTTATAGGTTGGAAAGGTAGAGAGGAAATTTGTAAGGAATGATAAACCATGGCTAATGAACAAACGATTCTGAGTGGAGTTCGATTGATAGTGTTGCTTTGTCAACAATATATATATCATATTATTGCAAAATAATTACAAAATATGCATTACCAATATATTTTCTTTAATACTATTTGTTTAATATTGTACCTATTTTCCCATATTCCTGTTTTTTTTTTTGGTTTTGGCAATTTATTGGGAAAACTTCTGAGAAAATCAAAAAATGACCTTCATAAAGTACAATCACAGTCAGATTTACTTTTAGAAAAAGTGTTATCATTGCAAAATTGCTGGTAGAAAAGGTGTCCACAGAAAAGAAAGAAAAAATTAACATCATTACATTAAATCATTACATTCCGAGGAATGTATTGGTTTTATCGCTCCACTCAGAATCTAAAACTCTAAATAGCTAATAGTATAATCCATACTTTAAATGCCTCCCGTTGCATAATCCTGGTCACGGCATTGGATATAATAATTCTATAATATAACTTGTTAGTTGTTTTATTTCCAAACATGCTTTGATTAGATTAATAGGTAATGAATGTAGTTTAGCAGTTAGAAGTGCAACCTAGTAACAATGTTTATAGTGTGTACCAAAAAAAAAAAAAAATCAAGACTAATATTATTATTGCGGCAATAACGAAATAAGTAGGTAATGGCGGCATTACAACGGAATAAAACGCGCGAATCGCGTTAACCTAACCTAACCTATAATTGCGTGGTGCTCGGGCGTACAGAAGAAACTCGCGCGCCAAATTCGACGGCGGCAAACGACGGACAGTGACGACAACGACGATGACCTTGACCGCAATACTGTGGCGCGCTACAATGTTATTATATCACACCCGACGCGAGAAAGTCGTCTATGTGCGTGCCGTGTCCCCGCAAATATTCCGACACCGCCACCGCCCGTACCATACACGTATCCGTCCGTCCGTCCGTCCGTCACGGACTTGCAGGCAATTTTCGTTCAGAGTACGCGGGTACGTAACCGCTTACCGCGCATACGATATTACCGCGCACACAGTACCTATTACCACCACGCATACGCATGCGTTTACACACATAATATCCGTGTATAACGCAATAATATAAGGTAAGGTAAAGTAGTAATAATGAAATGGACACTCGATAACGGCCACCCATCCGATAATAATTATGTTTAACAATAAGTACGTATATTACATTGTTATAATGCGTACTATTATTATTATTATTGTTGTTATAATTTTATCGTAAGCCAATTGAAAGTCGTGTCACATAAAGAAAAAAAAAACTACTGACTTGGTATAAGAGATAAGGCGCGTAAAAATGATAAAAAAAAAATGTACTCAAGGTGGCTGGCGACGACGGCAGCGTTTAATCTACTGGTATCTGTAGAAAGACAAACCGCCCGCGGATTGTCGACTAATAGAAGGGAAAAAATCCAATCGCCTCCCGAAGACCTTCGTATACGAAACGATTGAACGATACACCGCTCGTTTGTTGGCACGTACGGATTTATTTATACAAATATTTACAACTCGTGTACGATTTTCTTGTACACTAAACGAGATAGACAGAAAAAGATTAGACTAGCGTAATAATAATATTACGACCATAACATGCAACAAGTAAACATAGAGCGATGCGATACGTCTCGGGTATCACAACCTTAAAACCAAAACGGTAAGCGATAGGAACCTATCGGTCATCGGGACGTCAAGTAGTGTTTATCTGCGTGCCTGTATCCACAAATTCGTTGATAGTAACCGGTAACTATTTCCCTTAAAAATTGGAATCATGTTACGAAATAATGAAATTTTTTTCTTCTCATTGACCACAAATATAATCACAAAATTGTGTGACTATCCCGAGTAGATGGTGATGAACGGTGAATTTTCCCTCAAGAATTATGATTTGTCCTTATTAAACCTATTTGGCAATCAGTGTGTTATCTCTTGTCTCTTTTCGTGATCATAATATCAACCGTCATTATATCAAACGATTAATTCAATTGGAAAAATTTCGTTTTAAATGTTTACTTTTGTTCAATTTAGTTTTTATTTTATATTATTATACAAACCATTAACAAAATATTTCTACGTTTTGAAAATTGAATTGAATGAGGGGGTAAGTCATACGTTTTGGGACAAGTTTTAAACGAATTTCTTCGTTGCCGCCGGTTACTATGAGTTTGTGACAGTACTAAAATGATTCACTACCAAGTTGTAACCAATGATTCGTGACGAATTTGTGGTACAACATGGATAACGCGGGAGCGCGTGAATACCCCAAAGGTACGAATCTGATTTTTCGAATTTTCAGATTTTCGATATAATTGAAACAATTGTGTAGGGAGGCGTAATACTGGAATTTCCGTATTTCCGCGTGATTTATCTAATATGGGTAAACAGATCAAGAGATTTTTTGATTTGCATAATACACCGACGACGGCGCCGCCGAGTAAACGCAATGAAAAGTTCTGAACACCCGAATAATGATGTTATACTCGTATATTATATAATAATGTGTACTGTATTATAGTATAATATACCTATAACCATTATAACAAAGTAGTGAAAACCAGATTTTTTTCATGAACGAAACGTGTTTTGTGAAATATAATGTATCTTACAAGAAGAGATTTAAATAAGAGGGTTGAAAGAGAATTAAGCTCCCCACGTCTGACTGTGATTAAATAGATTCTCATACTCCATAGTTTGGAACATCAATTCTCGGAACGCTAAAATAAGTTTAGGAACCACAATGCCGTTTATCATTTTGTAACACTTATAAATCCCTTTTCTTTGCCTACCAATTGTGCCCAAATTATATTTTTATGGTGTAGTAGAATTTGAAATTTAAAACCACTAACAACCTTAAAACATTTTTACCCATCACAATTTCCGGGAACATCCGCCCAAAATATAATGTGTATCAACTGCTGTACTCGAAGTATAGTTTGGGTGCCACTTCTACCTATACAAGCTTTCACAACAAATGAGAGAGAAGTAGAGGGATTAAATAAAAATCATGGTGGCTGTGTATTTACACGTATCTCTGAGCGTAGAACACAAAAATATTCCATTAAACTATTATTATAAGATAATAAATATTCTAACTGTAAGTCAAAAAAAAAAAAATGGTAGAAAATCAACAATATTGCAACCATGACCAAAGAACCAGTAGTAACTAATGATGACTGTCCATTCGTATACACATTTCGACATTCCGAGTTTCGTCTCGTCCGACTACATCAGAAACAGTAAATCACACAATTGTATAGGTGCTCATTATCTATTCTTTATAGGTATGAGGTTTTTTTTTTCAATATTGAAAACTCAAGTACATATTTTCAAATATTACTACTATAATACACGAATACGAAAATCCCACCTTATTATTAACATAGTTTTTGGCCAAATAACAGTATGACGCATAATATAAGCACACCATTTGTATTATGAACAATACAGACGATAATTGTAGGTAAAGGTACTTTGCCTGTTAAAATTCATGACGTAAATACTAAGTTTTAATATTATTACTCGTATTTACACAGTACTGCACAAGAACTATATTGTTAGACAAAAATCTAATAAAGGCATGTAGTAGTCAAAGAAACCCATGGTGATGGATATAGGGAGTCGGTGTCACATCATCATGATATGGGAAGTAAAACTGAAGGTATGTATAATAAACCTAAATTGCGTGGGCCGTAACATGTTTGGATACCTTGACTCCTAGCTCAACTCATTTGGGCACCTTATGTTTTATGAAAAATAACACGATAGTCGAAAACGTAACCTATGTTTTGTCCAAACCTGATACTGACTTGAGAAATTTAGTACCTTGAGTGTAAACCTACAAATTAACCAATGAAAACGGTGGAATTATATTAAGCAAGGAGGAAATGGAAAAACTACATCGTGGGTAGGTCTCAGGAATCAAAGGTAGTATAATATTATGAAAATACTAAGACAGTGGTTCCCAACCATTTTAGTTGAGCAGACTACCAATTTTGAAAAAAAAAACTTTGAGGCCCACTAAACTAATATACTGGTAAAAATATTAACAGACACCTATTATGTACGTATGACCAATTATATACATTATACTCATATACCTATAAATTATAATGTGCATATTGCGCATACGTCAATAATTAGGAAAACAGCGTTCAAGAAAATTAAAAAAAATAATTTTTTATAAAAAAAGAAGTTTATTATTGTTTTTGACTTATGAACAAGTGGTTAAAGTTAAATAAAATCAATTCGATTTTCGACATTGTTTATATCTTACGAGAGATTCAGTATCGAAATTAAGTATATCGCAACGTGTACATCCACACTCCACGCCGAGCAGATAAAATACGATACAAATGACAAAAATACTGTATATGAAAACAACAATCAATACAATTTTATGATGGCCATAATATTGTGGGATTATCATTAAATCTCAATCGAAATATAGATGTTTATAATAATATACATATTTTTTAAATTTTCTGACTCTTAGCTTATGTCCTCAACCAGCGTCCGCAGCCTATAGGTTGGGAACCACTGTGCTAAGGAATCTTCAGTTTATTGGTATAAATTGCAAGCCTGGGCATTAACGAGTTCATAAGTTAAAAGTTAACTTAACTTACTTGTTTGCTATTTTAATTGACTTAACTTATGTGTCTCTACGTTAACTTGAAATCAATTTATATTTTTTTGTTATTCCCAATTAAGTGAATTTTAAATTTTTATATTATCCAGAAAAATATTTTATTTATTACCGTTGTCCCTTTAAAATATTATAAGTTGGTGGATTTAAGAGTAATTTTAAGAGTTTAATTTTTATATTTACAGATAAGAACTAAATTATCATAATAATAAAGACATAAATAGCTACAAGCCCTCAAATTATATTCATAATATCTACTTGGGTATTAATTGGATACTACTTATCTGTTAAAATTTAATAGATATTTTGAATAAAATTTAGAACTAAGGTAGGCAAGTTGTTTGTACTTTTTTGTTTAAGTTATTTATTTTGTAAAAAAATAAATTATTAATATTAAATAATACAGTAACCACATTTGCACTCAAATTTAAATTTAAATAATCCCTAAGTCTGAATTATGAATTCTATAATTCATGCTACAACTCGACAGATTTTAAAATACATACATTGGTAATATTTCATATTTGCATTTACTTTCATTAGGTATTTTAATTTTTAATACCTAATAAATGCATTTTTTTAAAAATAAATTGACTTATTTGTTGAAGTTAAGTAAAGTTAATGGTAAATTTCAACTTAATTGTCAATTTAATTGAAAAATTTTTTTAGCTTAACTGAGTAAAAAAATATTATTAACTTGCCCAGCTTTGATCAATTTTCAAGATCATCGTGTTCATTTATGTACACAAACGTGTTATGTGTGGGATAAAGGCGAAAAAAAATTAAGGTACTTTAATATTTTAAAGCATTAAAAGAATGACAGTTTATTTTCGTTCAGGCTTTGAGATTGTTATAATTATTGTTATTCATTAATTTTTTATTATTATTTCTTTCCTTAGATAACGGTTACATACTCAATTATTTTATTGCAAGTGCATACCTAATATTAGATTATTATATACAGATTGTATAATATTAGACAATCCAAATTAAAAAATATATTTTTACTGTGTACAAAAATTCTACCAGAAATCTTGCTTCGATTTTCAAGTGTAGCACTTTTTCTTAAAGGAAATTTTCCTGTTTTATATTCACTAATATAATACGTACATATTGGATGCGTTTACTTTAGGGAGGTCATTTTTAGATTTTCCGAGTGGTTTTCAAAATAATTAGAAAAAACCGGGAAAAACGTAGGAAAAATGGGAAAATTTACGACAATAACGCTTTTATTATTTTCAATTTTGTTTTTTATTGTAATTTAATTTAAAATATTCGTAGAGACTTTAAATCTGAACTTAAATCTTATATTTGCCTTTTGAAGACGTGGTAAAGTTTTCAAATTATTTGAGCACTTTTTGAGTTATTTATAGACATTTTAATTTTGCGAGTTTTTTACTTAATATTTATTCGATAGGTACTCTGTAGATAAAATAAATTGTTAGACTTAACAGAAATGTTTGATAAATTGATAGGAGGTTAAATATATGTCGAACTTTATTATATATATATATTTAATATATATCGAACGTATTTTCAACCGTTACTCAAGTATATTAAAAAGAAAGTACTATATAAAAAAAAAAAAAAAGGTAAATTTGGCCAAATAAATAAAATACTTTATAATTTGTTAATTTTCTTGAAATATAATGAATTTACAAAAAACTATGTAAGAACATTCTTCATGGATATTTATATATTTACTCAATATATTTTTGTGATAAATTCAATCAATTTTGAAATAAATTGAAAAAAATCAAGAAATTTACCTCTTTGAGAACTTTTCAACTATCTTGTAAAAGGTGAATGTGGTGAAGTATAATAGCCAAATTTAACACACATTAGTTTCTTATATCAAGTAAGAAATGGGGGGTGAGGATAAGAAATTAAAAATATTAATTTTTTTGGTCTATGTATAAGGACCAACTTATGTATAATAATTTACTTATTAATACTTACTAATTAATTAGTACATAATACATTAATTAGTATTTAATTATAATACAATATATAATATATTTGGATAGTATTTAATGTTATCTATCTATCTATCTATCTATATATATATATAAAATAACATGTCCTGACTGGCTGATTGACTGATTCATCATCGCCTAGTCCAAACAACTGGACGAATCGTGCTGAAATTTGGCACACAGATAGTTATTATGACGTAGACATCTGCTAAGAAAGGATTTTTGAAAATTAAGCTCCTGAGAGGGTAAAATAGGGGTTTTTAGGTGTATTTGGTACTAATATCTAATTGCTTATTTATTTATTTTTGTTTATTTCAGGGTTGCCACGGAAAAAAAAACTTAAAATTATTATTATTAACAATATTCAAATTTCACAATAGAACATATTTAGTCCGCCAAGTGGACTAGCCACTTTCCACCTATTTATTTTCATTCAATTCTGACACGGCCAAAATAAAAAATAAACATGGGTAAAATAATATTAATAACAATTGTCACGGGCAACGCCGGGCGCGGGACAGCTATAGTAATAGTAATATATATATATATAATATATATATAACAGTAATATATACCTGTATTATTTTCAATCGTGTATTACAATATTATACCCTCTTAGTGCAACAAGCAGTAAAATACCAAATTTTCAAAATTGAGTTTTTTTTTTAATTTTGGGATAATTGGATAATTCTACGTTTTTTGCTTCGTTGAAACCCAGCAACTACACTAGAAAAACCTTTAAAATGTATCGAAAAAATGTTGTTGTAGAGAATAAAACATTATATACAATGGAGATACTGCTTATTTTCTTGGTAAAATGATTTCTCAATACGTTTATTATGTAGTATACCTAATCATTGAGAAATCATATTTACCTAGTTATTTTAGTTAAAACGGTTTAGTAGTATGTACACTTTATATTTTATTTATGAATGGTCGTACTTGTCAGATACGACATTTATCAAGATTAATCAGATTTCTTCGCACTAACTACTATAACCATCATGTGTTAACCATTCTACTAATATTTTGTTATCAATTATTACTATTAGTAATTACAAAATTGTTATATACATTTTTTTTATCATACTTCAATAGGTGCATTGTACTTTTAACTAGGTACTTAATAGGTTTAAGTTTAATTTTAACTTAATACAAAATAATAATACAACGAATACAATATAGTATAACACTATTTATGTTAAATATATACAATTTATACATTTAAATTTACTTAAATCAGTTAACTTAAAAAACATCTTCATGGAGATTCTGCATTTTGTAAATTTTATTTTTTTTTGTACAAAATACAAAATTCAAAAAATTGTGGACGCGTATGACTAATTATTAATGTAAAAAAAATAATTTTATTGTGAAAAACGAATAACTCGAAATATGAATTATCCCAACAATTCAATGTTTGGAGATACCTACTGCTTGTAGTACTAAAAGGGAAGAATATGCAATAACTAATAACGAATACGAATACGAATAATAGTTTATTAATAATTGAGTAAGAAAATCAATTTGCAGCTAAACTAAATAATAAAATTGTCCGCATGCAATTAAATGATTTGTATTAGTAAAAACTAAAAACATAACCCGAAATCTACTAATTACAATTACACAATATGTACGAAAATGAAAGAATAAAACTATAACTATCTACTATCTACACACCAGTGGCCGATTTAGTTCTTTGTCTTTGGGAGGAGGTAGATTTAGGGGGGATATTTTTTAATATTTATATATTCCCATAAATAATTAGAAAAAAAGTACGCGTAGAGTTACATAAAATGTCTAGAGGGAGTCATGGCTCCTGTGTTCCCCCCAAACTTAACGTCGCCTCTGCTATACACGAATTTATTCTGATATAATATTATGATGCACATATAACTATTTTTAGAACACATATAACATATTACTATAACTCTAACGTAAGCATATTATTATTTTTGTGGGACAGAAAAGTAATTCAATTTTAACAACTATATGTAACATAAAATAGATATCAAAGTAATGAAATCAATTACACAATACATTATTAGTATCTAAGTATTTATGAAAAAAAAGTTGTTTCTCTGCTATGTACACAATGTACGTGAAAAATATATTTTAACTTAAAAAAAATACATATATATTATTCATTCCATCATCGTATTCAGTAAACTCGGTAGGTAGTTAGGTGAATTCATTTATGTACTTATAGTTTTACATGGACTTAAATTACTATAATGGTATAAGTGATGTGGATGCAATACACACATTACATACAGCAAAATAGAAAATTGAATTTTAATACAGGTTTTTCTGTATTATTATTACATTTTTATGTATGTACAATAACAATTGAATACGCGTACTATATTTTAAAATTATATAGTACATTTTTATAGATATAAAAGTCAAAATAACAAAAATAAAACTACATGACGTTACTATTTGAGTAAATACACTTATTTGATTATTCATTAGACTAAATAATAGTAAATATCGAAATTATTATTCAACGTTAATATAAATACGTTGTTACGTCTGTACCATTATTATTATGTGTGATTATCTTTACAGAACTCATAGTATTTTTTAACGTTTATACAATACTCATTAAAACGAATGATAATTATGTAACACGATGATTGACAGCTTTGATGGACAACCTAAACATAAACTTTACAATATTTTATTTATACACTTATGCTTTAATACTGATCTTCTAATCAAATTTTAGATTCTGAGTGGAGCAAAGAAGCTTATGGTTTTACAAAGATGTTTTTTTTTCTATGGACAATTTTTTTATCAGCAATTTTGCTCCAACTTATAATGATAGTAATTTTTCTAAAAGGAAATTTCACTAAGAAGTTTTTTTAGAAGGGTCGTTTTTTGATTTTTTCAGTTTTCCCAGCAAATGTGAAAAACCGGGAAAAACGTAGGAAAATTGGGAAAATCGGTACAACATTAAACAAATATTATTAAAGAAAATATATAAAGCTAATTTAATTATTTTATTATAAGATTACATATATATATATATATATTGTTGACAAAGCATCACTATCAACTGAACTCCACTCAGAATCGTTTTTTTCGTAAGCAATGGTCTATTGTTGCTTATATATATACATAAATCATCTATAACAGTGGCTGCATTCTTCTCCATTATCCTAGGACATCTTTTTAGCTAATGGAGGTATTAATGCAGACTATTTAGGAACGTTTATTTTGAATATTATACATGAAAAACGTGAATAGCAACTATTAACTATACTTCTCGGTATTAACTAATAACTCATTTTCTCTAAAAACATAATTAACAAGGGCTTCCAAGTTTCAAGTTAAAGCCAAATTGTTCATGTCATACTTTTTTTTAAAAAAAATGTCTAGTATATATTTTTTGAAACCATATATTTTAAAATATTTTTTTATCCTACATTTTTTTTAGAATGAATCCACTACCCACTTGATTTTTAAATACCTACCTATATAAAAAATTCAATAAAAAGATGTAGTTTTAGTTTAATTACATTTTTGTGTTACTCATTAACGAGGTATTTCACTTTAAAGTTTGAGTAAAGAGAAAATAGTGGAGAATAATTTGTGTGGTGAAACGGCACACAAGCTATTAAAATAAGTTTGGTGTAAAACCAGAAATATTATATTTATGTAAATTGAAGGATAAAATAATTTTTGGTAATACATAAAACAACAGAACAGTGACCTAGGTAAGACTTTTTAAAATGACGTTATACCTACCAGCATCTACTGTCTCAGTCCAACTACTGGGTAACATGCAAAAACAATGTTTACGCAGAATAAGTAATACTAGCTTAATTTTGATTTTAGAGTAGAAGTATCTACCATGAAATTTATAAAAAACAATATTTTGAATGGAATTTTATAGGTGATTTTTGTAATATGAACTGTTAAAGAGTTACATTTATTTAAAAACATAAAACAAAATAGGTTTTTGTATCTTTTATTTTGAATAATATAAAACCCCAAGAAATTCCCTCCATAATATTGTTCTTTATAAATTTAATAAAGGGTATACTTTTACTCTAAAATCAAAATTAAACTAGTTTAATTTATTCTGCGTAATAATTGTATTTGCATGTTACCAGGTAGTAGGACTGAGACAGTATATACGGGTATAACGTCCTCTTAAAGAACCTGTACAATTATTAGTTTAGTTTTTTATCATATAAGAAAAAAATCTGAGTACCTATTTTAAATATAATTGATTGTATTAAGCTTTTGATTAATTTTAAAGATGTTATAAAGTATAACGTGGTGTCAATATTATAAAATATATTATAATGTATTAATTAACATTCTTTGCGCGGTAATGATATAAGAGTAACACTACGGTATTGATACATTTTTTTAAAAAGTTAGACGTGGTTTTTATACAAAACAAATCGTGTGGATAAGAGTCATTATGAAGTATAGGTACAGCACGTACATACGTTAAACCTGATCGTCGTTCGCGTCTACTGTAGAAAACGTACTAATAACACGTTATTAATAGCTATCTAAAATTTCAATAATTTTTTTATTCGAACGACTTGCCCTACGGTTCGTTGCAAACAACAATGATGATAATAATAATAATAATAATATTATGTACCTGTATGTTATACAGGGAATTATATAAACTTTGTGCGACGTTACAGCATGCGGAAAATCTTCGTGCGATGAGTAAGTACCTATAATATTATGACGCACTAAAACACTAGAACGGATGGAATAGAAAAAAAAAAAATTATAACCGAAAAACGTTCACGACAGTACTGATGAGTATTCAATGACGTTGTGGGCGGCTAATAACTACTGATCGTGAACGAAACGGCGGCGGTACCGGAGATTTGGCGAGCAGAAAAACGTGCGCGTATGTTCATGACGTCGGATGAACGACTGGCCGCCCGCACGATGGACTATAAAGGCGACCCCCCGGCATTGCGTCCCCCCTCTTCCCCCGGAGCGTCGCCGGCAGTAACAATTCGCTGTTTCAACGAGAGGGAATTTTATTCAGTTTTCGATTTCAACTCATACGCGCGCTCGTTCGTGTTTCGCCCGTTCGGAAACGCGAAATATTTTGCCAGCCATATCTACTTAGAATCGAATTGGAGGGAGGTGGGTTATTTTCATTGGAAGACCGAGGGAATTCCAAAATACACACAGTTTTGAGTCTATACTTTCGAAATATCAACAGCGCGCGTTATAAATTGACTTACATTCTCATAAACGCCTATTTTCGACATTCGACTAGATGGTCAAGGTTAGCTACAAATATGTTATTATGTAGTAGGTACGTTCTGTTAAAATGTACACCTCCCGACTCTTGAAATTAATAATTATAATACGCGATCCATTTAAAGGTCCTTTCATGCATATCTAATATTAATATCCGAGCGTGATTCGTCGGGATGACCGGATATGGGTCATAGAGTATAAAATTGGGCAAAATCTAACTTTTAGATTCCGACCGCAGCAGAAATATATATATTCATTTTATTATGGTGTGTGTTTTTTATTTTTTTCTCTCCGTTATTAACTGTCTAACCTAATATTGACTCTCTAATCTTGATCCAATCTTCAACTTTAGAAGTTATGGTTACACATTTTGTTTCATCAGGGTTTTTTTGGTGGGATATTTTTAAAGGTTTGGAAAATCAATAAAAAGTTCGGTAAAATAATCGGTTAAATGTTTCACCGAATTCTGTTCAGAATCGGTTTTTGTTTGCAATTTTTTACTGTAGAATACTTTATATATCTCCTAAATATTCTATCTTCCTAATTTTCTACCTATTACAGTGATGGTTAACTCATGTTTTGTGAGCAGTATCCTATTTTTTTTACGAATAATATTTTATGGACAGATATATTCCCATCATTTTTTTCGAGAGTATACTTATAACATTCTGCGTACCTTATGTCGGATACTGTATATTTTTCGTATGGTTTATACTAATTACATGGAAATATATATATCGATTTATAAAAATTGAATTAAAATGTCCAAAATAAAACACCAATAGTTAAAAGGATAGACAAATTTCTGTGTCACCAATTTATTCGTCACGACTTTTTAAATGTATAATTTAAAATTTGACAAAATATAATTAATTGTACAACTTTTTTTCAGAAAACCGACCAAATATAAAGAGAACAAAAAAGAGCTGATATTAAGAACGGGTATGGCCACTGTTGCAGGTGAGTAGTAGGGAAGGTGGGATAAATATAAGTTATTTCATTTATATCTGTAAGCAACGTTAACATTGCTGATGATAGACAATTTTGAGTGCAGTTCAGTAATACATAATTTGAAGTGCCATATTTTTTTTTGCAATTTTCGTTTAAATTTAATTTCAAAATGCTTATTAAGAACAAAAAAAAGTCGTCCAATGATTTGAAAAATTGTATCCCGTCTAGGTTAGTTCAATATAAGTATTATTACCAAGTTTCAAGTCTCTACGCGTATTTATAATCGAATAACAGCAAAAAAGTTAACAAAAAAAAAAAAGAAATTCCTTAAAAGCTCAAAATTGGCTTAAAAGTTTTGGCGATGATACCATAAGAAATTAAATCAAAAAGCCAAAAAAGAAGGTATTTTGTGATTTTTCGATATAATTGTTTCTTCTGGTAGAACGCGTCATCCGTATTTTTATAAAATAATGATTTCGTGAAATATTACGTTTTCCTACGTTTTTTCTCACTTAGCGAGTTCAAACCCGAAATTCGAAAAAAACTGTTCGCATTTATTTTTTTCCTTTTTCCTAAATAGGGAAAAGCAAATCCATTTTAGGTGTACCTAAAGATCTAGCTATCGCTCGCTCAGACTGTTTTAATCGCAAAATACCTCTCAATTTGTTGAGCAAACTTTTTTAACTGAGAATCTGAAATCTGACTGAGAAGGTACTTAAGGGTGGTCACTTTTCGATTTTCCCAAAGGTTTTCCTAGAAAATGTGAAAAACCAAGAATAAACATGGGAAAACCAGGAAAAACTCAGAAAAAACAAGAAAATCGTTACAGTATTAAACAATATTATTATTATAGAAAATAATTGTATAAATATAAAATATGAAAATATATATAAAATATAATATAATATATAAAAATAAAAATTGCTTACAGATATACATTAAATTACCTATAACAGTGATTGCACTTTTTTCTATTATTCTAGAACTTTTTTTTTTTATTATTTGAATATTTTGACTAGCAAAATGTTGGGTGTATACGGCGTATATGTAATATACCCTATGGCGGTTTTCAACCGAAGTGACATAGTGCTCTGGGGTTTCGGACCCAGTGCAAAGGTGACACGAAATCATCGGGGAAATGAAAAAAAATAAGAGAACTTAATTTTTTTAGAATAAAATCGTATTATTCCTATCGCTAACATGTAATCACAAACGCCGTCCGAACAACGTAATATTCCCTCCCATCGCTCACTTTTCAACGATAACGCTCCTTGAATATCCTATAATTTCAATGGATATTATGCATTTGTAGGGCGACTCAATGTTGGATTATTGCATCGATAAGAGTGACATGAATCAATAAAGGTTGAGAACCACTGCCCTATGGAAATACAACTGGTTATGGGTCTATATGAAAACGTTTATATCTGGATAAAGTTTACATGTTTAAGCAAAACGATTATTTCACTACACAATGTTCATATTATCGCATTCAAATTATAGCCAATGTATCGTGACACGTAAGCAGGACCGGATTAAAAAATATCGAGGATTTATGCAATTAATTATGTGGGGCTCAATAAAGCATTATTTTTCTTTTGTTTTTTCGCCTTCTGATACATAGGTAAATCTTTTATAGTGCAATTTTTCTTAGTTTATTCATCTTAATTTGTACATCCAAAATAATAACGTGAAATTACTATCTAGCTATAATTTGTGACTAAACGTGTGGCTTCTAAAAGCAGGGGGTTCTATGCGAGTGCAAATCTTACATCGCCTTTAAACCAGCCCTGCCAGTGAGTAAAGTCACATAAATTTTTAAATTGCATGCATCTATTTAGCTACTATATTGTAGTATAATATTTGTTTATGAATCAAAATTACTATTTAGTATTTTAATAGTATTTAGAACAATATTATTATGAATAATATTTAAATTTAACACAATTAGGTAAATAAAGTTATGCCTTTTTTACTTACATTTACTTGGATATCATCGCAATCAGAGTTTTTTGATTTATTATTGTTTTCTTCTAATGATTCTTCGATCACCGTTTCAGCATTTTCGAGTTTATCAGCATTTTTTTCTTTTGCTCCAGTCGCACTCATACTAAGGATCTTACTTAGGTACCTATTTTAACCAAAGTAATTTAAATTAGTTATCTTAATTGTTCAAAATAATATTATTGTACTATATAGACAACGTATACATTAAATAGTAATACTACGAATATTAGAGTAAGTAATGATTTCATATGCAATCAAAAAAAGAGCTGATATTGGGGATAGAAGTGGCCACTGTTGTAGGTTGGGAAGGTAGGATACATAAGGTTATTTAATTTATATCTATAAACAACGATAAACCATTGCTTGATGAAAGACGATTCCAAGTGCAGTTCGGTAATACATACTTTTTACGATTTTCGTTTAAATTTGATTTCAAAATACTTATTAACAACAAAAAAAAGTCGTCCAATGATTTGAAAAATTGTATCCCGTCTAGGTTAGTTTAATATAAGTATTATTACCAAGTTTCAAGTCTCTGCGCGTATTTATAACCGAATAACAGCAAAAAAATTAACAAAAATTGAAATTCCTTAAAAGCTCAAAATTGGCATAAAAGTTTTGGCGTTGATACTTTTAGAAAGTAAATCAAAAAATCAAAAAAGAAGGTATTTTGTGATTTTTCGTTTTTATCATTTTTTCTGGTAGAACGCGTAGTTTGTGTTTTTATAAAATAAAAAAATTGCGAAATCGCATGTTTTTCTATGTTTTTTTCCCACTTAAGTGCTTTTATTTAAACAATAACGTCGAAAATCAAAAAATGATTTGTTTAAAATACAATCTAGACAATTTGAGCTTTCATAAAGTTGCTGTTTGTAAAAATCGGAGCAAGTTTACTAGGAAAAACATATCCACAGACTAGAGCAATGAACAAAGAAAGAAAAAATAAACAGTATTGTAAAACCAATAGCTCCCTCGCTATGTTCGGAATCTAATATAATAATAACAATAGTTATTGGATAAACTAAAACCATTTATATTTGATAACCCTGAATCACAGTTATCTTACCCGAGTAGATAACTGAGGCCTGAACAATGATAAAAGATAAAACTGTAGTATTTTTGTGCCAAAAAAACAACATTTCATTATTTTTTGAAGTCAAAATTAAGGGGACTGACACCTAGTTTCTAAATTATAGCGTTTTGAAGTCTTGATATTATGTGGATATTGTATAATAATAGCCGTCCTACGCCTGGCGTTTCCCGTGCCAATTTTTTATTCTTCTTACCTTTATTTTCATATTGCTTTGCCCGTATGTCGAACGAAAGAAAATATGTTGAATAGTCCGATGGACTAAAAGTGTTCTAGTGTGACATACTTTTTTCACTCGTGTTACCATAGATACTCGTACAGCTCATTATTATACGTTATTAAATTATTTTATATCCACAATAACGCTAAAATTATGAAGAAATAAAAGTATACTTTAGTGTTATAAAATACAAAGATTCAAAAACGACGTTTTACGTGTTTTCTCTTTTCATTTACCCGTCCAGTACAGTGCATAGTTTTGAGTTTTGTTCTTCATCCGTGTTACCAAGGTACCCCTTCCTATTTCAAGCCAATATTCGACCGCCAGACAATCAGACCTACTCTTTATTTTAATTTGTCATAGTTGTTATGGAATTTTTATTTCTGATTATTATTTATTTTTATTTTTATTAGGTTATCCATAGTTCAAC